TTGGAATTCTGCAAAATCTCACCGCCAAAACGCTTGAAATCGCATTTCAGAGACTCTAGATTTCAAAATTTTCCGGGGGGGCATGCCCCCAGACCCCCTAGCAAGTCTCACGCCTTCGGCGTTCGACTTATGTTTGAAAAATCCTAGATCCGCACCTGGAACTGATAGAGCTATTCAGTATAAATAAAGTTAGTTTAGTTTAGGTTTCCTCCTGCAGTAACACTAGCTAGATCAATAAGAAATTATCCTTAGTGGATCTCTAGGCAGAAAAGTTTAGAATTGATAGAGCTATCCAGTTTAAATAAAGTTAGTTTAGTTTAGGTTTCCTCCTGTAGTATCACTGGATCAATAAGAGGTGACCCTTACTGGACCTCTATATAAGGAGAACGATTAGTGCTATCCATGCAGCATACAGTATATATAACGTTGGTATATTTTAGTTATGTGAAAGATTACTTACTTGATGGAACAACACAGGGCGGACTTGACATCATCCATTCACCATAACCTCTGATATTACCAACACAAATTCTCACGTAATAAGCTATTGACTAAAAAGTTGACGAAAAATGCTTTGATGAGAAACATAAGCCCGTTACAGCACGACAGATGGTGTCATCTTTAAGAATGTTGATACTGATTGGAACAAGAAAATTAAACTAAATTTCTCAATTCCATTTATTTCCATCTACATGTAAAGAATGAACATTATTTTCTCACTCTGATAACTGCAGGTTGGCAACCATCTGCTGTAAGATAGTGCTGAAATCTATAGTATACTACATACAGAAATCTATGTAGACTCGATTTGAGATTTAATGAAAGCAGTGGTGGTAAGCTCACCTTTTGCAGTCCCGCTATGGTGTATTGTCGATCAAGAATATTATGAGAGAAATATTCTCCATCCAAACTGTCGAAGGCTTTATCTCGACTCCACTGAACTAGAAGGAAAGAATACTAAATATCACGGTGAAATTTCCAACCGTGATACCTGTGCATGTATATACTATAGAACGACATGTGTTCGTAACAGACTTGTCAACAAGTTGTAATAATGTTGTCATTTCATCAAGTGGCTACAAGGTTGTCACTCATAACTTAACAAGTTGATGAATTGCGGAACGATAACAAGTTGTTTGAAGAACTTGAAACAAGTGTGTCGAGTCAACAGTCTTGTAGCAAGTTGTCAACAAACCGTCAATAACTTGTCAACATGCTGGGGACAAACGATGTGAACACATACTGATAACAAGTTGTTGAAACAGCATTGCCAGAAGCCTACTACAGTTTTGTTAGAAGTTGTATGTTTTTACGCGTAGGTACATAGTGTATAACCAATCTCCCACACGATTCATCGTATTGAAAATAATATTGATTGAAACAGCTAAATTTTCTATACCAATATGATGTGTAGTAGATCTGAATTTTAAGTTCGTTCTCATCCTACTAACCTTTGAATTTCGTGACAGGATTATTCTTGCTAGCAGCTGGACCAGAAAAGCGAACGAGAAGGGAGGTTTCCGACGCAGCCGAGAGAAATACGGTTGTCGGTCGTGATGGCAGATCTATATATCCACAAAACAACATAAAAATATACGTTTACAAACACGGTGAAACGTGATGATCAGGGCTAAAACAACCGGCCAAAATCTTAACAATGACCAGTCAAATTTGTTCGCCGTTAGAAGTAACGGTCACTATGCATTATTATAGTGATTAATGCATATGACTCATATGGTTTCCATTTCTGGCACTTTAATTCCTGCGATATTTGTTTACGTCGTGTATAATTTGCGGTCGTATGAGGAATGTTAGAAATGTAACAGAAAAGCCTTAAAAAGTTGTCGGGACTGATAAGCCAATTTAACTACATATCATATTTCATAGTTTTGTGGTTAAGGTGATCGATATAGTTATCACAAAAACCCTGCTCAAGAATCGCTAGCAAAACCGCGTCCCGTGACCATTTTACGCGCAGGTCGTGGAAACTGATTTTAACAAAATAAAAGAATATTATTGGCACTAATGAAGATCTGGGTTTACGGATCGAAAGCTTTGCAGTAATAAATTTACGTGGTGTTTCCGCAAACAAAAGGTATTAAAATGAAAGAACTTCCAAAATGACCTGACGTGAGCAGTTGCTCGCGCCATCTCACGTCATTGCGCGTGTTCTGTAGCGTTTTATGTTAATTGCTGACGTCATTAGAATTTTCCATTTTAGAAACACAATGCGCTATATCTCCCTATTTTGTCTGGTGACCTATCTTCAAATTTCATGCATGCTGTATTGCACCGCTAAAAACTTTCATTATACAAAAAATAAGAAATTTTGTAATGCCAAAAACATTTTACCGAAGTTCTTTGAATGTTTGCATGGCGATAAAAATATATAATTGTTTTTGTTTGTGCCGTTTAATTAAATTTCAAATGACGCGAGCCAACAGATCACGACACTCTTGTATATAAAAAGAGTGTGTGAATTAAACAAGTCACATATTATTAGCACTGATGAAGATCCGGGCTTACGGATCGAAAGCTTTGCAGTAATAAATTTACGTGGTGTTTCCACAAACAAAAACAATTATATATTTTACCGAAGAGTACGATATTTTCGCATTTTCAAAAAAAATGGCATTACAGAATTTTCTTATATTTTGCTAATTGTTAGTTTTTCTTCCAAGTAAAATAATGCAGGAAAAAAATTGGGGGTTTAAACTGTATCTGCAACAGACGAAACATAGGACTACCCTCAAAGTACTAAAGAGCGACTAGATCCTGTTATTTACTGCTTTTGTCGAGGCAGGAGCAGCGGTCACCCGATTAATTAAAAACAAACTCTTAAATTTGTTTACCTATGCCCTGGAATCCAGTCAACATTTTCTGTAAAAGATGAAGCCGCCATTCGCATTCTTTAAGCTGTTTTTCACTATCCTGTTAAAAATGGCAAATTTGAGAGTTGATGAGACTTAACAGTCACGAATTCTTACTGGGCGCTAGAAAAACATAATAAAAGTTCGACAAGAGTTCCAAATACGATTTAACTCAAATAAAATATATAGTAATGTTGGCAAATCATTGGAAGGCCCATTTCCACGCAAGAAAAATTTCCACGCAAGAAAAATTTCCACGCAAGAAAAATTTCCACGGACAGAAAATTTTCCGAAAAATATCATTTTAAAAGTTGAAAATTTTCAAGAAGAAAAACGAAACAAACAAATTAACAAACAAGACATGAGTGCATGTGGAGGAAATGGATGGACTGAATTCAGTGCAGATGTGAGGTCAACAAGCGCTAGGATGGCAAGAGTGACAATTTAAACAATGTCTAGTACTGAATAAGTAAGCTTATTAATTTAAGACGGTTTCGATAACCTATGGAATTCACACTTAGTTTCCCGTGCGTAGTTTAGCCACATACCGGAGGAGTAGAATTTTTTCCGTCACAAACACAGAAATAAATATATTTTTTTCAAGGCCTCGACTGTGAAATGTGTCGTATACCTTGGCGTCCGTGGTGCCTTTATTGACGACATCAGAGACATATTGTTCAACTTGTTCCTCGGCAAACGTCTGCAACATTTTAAGATGATTTTCCATCAACGACGCCGACACTAAATAAACGATTGGAAATAATGCTATCACTGATTGATAGATTACGTTGTCCAAAACTATCGCTCTTTCAAATATAAACGATGTTCATTTTAGTAGTACGTCAGAGAATTTAGCCAACACTCAAGGAGAAAGATTTAGGGTCTCCACAGACTAGAGTGATGACAACTTTTAGCTGTCGATAACAAATCGATTTGACATGGATTTGAAACCCCCTTTAAAGAATAACACCATGGTATTATGAACTGATAACTTGGTTAGCGATACGGTCCGTTATAAAAAACTGGACTAGCTGGGGAAGAATGGTACAAAAACTGTTTAAGACCTTCAGAGCTATTGGATGTCAATCGTCGCCATCTTGACATTCAGACTGACATTTATATACCGTACATCATAGATATTTTAGTTTTAAATAGTTGGTGTGATATCATTTGTAGATTTTACCGACTTAATTATATGTAGATGTAGATGTAGACTGAAGTTTTTGCTCCTGCAGATATATAGAGATCACTGGTACAAATAACCAAACAGAACAAGAGTTAGAGTTCTCTGCATGTACTTACATCGATTACTCTCTCTCGCCTCACGTTGCAGCAATTGACCTGTAATGCCGTCACAATGAAGCATGATAGATACATCCAACGCCGTGAAACCATCGTCGTTCAATCTGAAATAATATGCATGCACAATTATCAAAACCAGATATTCCTAATCATGGGGAAAGTGATTTGAACGTCAGGACTGGATTCCAGTCAATCAACAGGAGGACAGCATTTATTCTGTCTTCTATTCCAGTTGATTACGTCATCTTCCCATTTCTCCTTATAATAATCTTAGCATGCTCTTTAAAAAACCCCGACTCTTTAACCCTTAGTCTGATACTCCTAAATCAGCTTGCTATCATTGTTTAATACAAGAAACTTGCTGAAAGGGATGACGATTTGGAAGTCGGGATTTTCTTTTTAGAGGGCACACTTCAGGGGGGGAGAAGTTTAAATCAACGCTTTAAACCAAAGACAAAAATGACATACTCGTTAACGTCGACGTCGTGAGCGGAAAGTATTTTCGTCACTTGCTCCGAGTCCTGGTGTTCCACTGCCTTGAAAAATGCTGCAAGACAGATTGAGATATTCAACGATCGTTTTTCAATAACTTTTAGGCACTGTGAAAATTTCATTTTTGAATTTACCTTCTAAAGTGTTATCCCGTTTTCGCTTTGTTTTCACTGTGAAAAAAGTATTGAGAAATAGTTATATCAATTGAACAAAAAATATTTATATACTGGATCGTTTTAAACTGTTCTTCCCCGAGGTCCAATAAGCTAAGGTCATCTCTTGTTGGTCCAGTATAACTCCAGGAGGAAACCTAAACTAAACTAACTCTATTTATACTGGATAACTCCATCGGTTCTAAACTGTTCTCCTTATAGGTCCAGTAAGGATCATCTCTTATTGATCCAGTGTTACTACAGGAGGAAACCTAAACTTCACTAACTTTGATTTTTTCTGTGTTGGTGTAATGTACTCAGGCCGGAATACGACGCTTGTGATGTAACTCTGAGTGTGTATCCACACCGGGCAAGCTTATATCACATGCTCGAACCGACTTGACCGCGTAGCTCAGTTGGCAAAGCATTGGGCTAGTATTCCAACGGTCGTAGGTTCGATTCCCACCGTGGCCAGGCATATTTTCCAAGCTTGCCCGGTGTGGATATAAACTCAGAGTAACATCACAAGCATTACACTAACTTTATTTATACAGGACAGCTCTATCAGTTCTAAAATGTTCTTCCTAGAGGTCCAGTAAGAGTCCTCACTTATTGATCCAGTGTTCCTACAGAAGGAAACCTAAACTAGAGTAACTCTATTTATACTGGATAACTATATCAGTTCTAAACTGTTCTTCTTAGAGGTCCAGTAAGGATTATCTCTTATTCATCCAGTGTTACTACAGGAAGATATCTAAACTAAAAAACTTTATCTATACTGGATACCTCTCTCCCAGTAAAGTTCACCTTAAAAAGCACCCTGCATTACCAATGCTGCTCACTTACTAGAGAGTCCTTCGCCAGGAGGATCAATCACCGCATTCCGTCGAAAATTTCTCTGAGTGAAAGAAAAACTTCTTCTCAAAGGTCGATTTTTTTCTTCGAGAGTGATAGTGCTTCCTTTCTCGTCGTCAGGCTCCGGGATGTCGATCTGATCCTCGCGGCCGTCCAGGGTGAGTTTACTTGATGAAATACGAAGTCCGTTAAGATTTTCTAAACTTATCGATGGCCGTGGTGCCCTAATAACGAAGACCATATATTGATCAAAAATGAATATTTTTTAATCAAAAGTGCAGTTTAAAGGGATATGGCAATATAAGTTAAGTTTGTCTTATTTGAAAGAACATTTAAAATGATACATAAGCTTCCTTTAGAATTACTCCGTATCTTGCTTGGTTTTCGAAATAAATCGACTTATTTTGATCAAAAGCAGCGTGCATTCCGCCATCTTGGATATGCATTTGATATGCATACGTCACAAGTAGGGTAAAAAGCAAAATTGTTATCTTGCAAACCACATGTCATTATCAATATGAAACTCGATTTTCTAAAGTCTTTTTAGTACTCAATTAACTCACAACATTTTAAGGAACTTTTCGAAGAACTTTAGTCCCACATGAAGAAGTTTTAACAAGTTATTTACCCTGTCACGTCATCAAAACCTCAGTTAGGTCAATTCTAATACCAAGATGCCGGACTGCACACTGTTTTTGGTCAAAATATTTCGAAAACCAAGCAAAGTACGAAAAAGTTGTAAAGGGTCTTCTTATATAATTTTAAAAGTTCTTTCAAATAAGACAAAGATAAATTTTTATTGTCATACTGGGCCTTTAAGCGGAGATAAAATCCTGGGGCCCGGTTGATCAAAGCCGGTCAGGGTTTTGAGAATTATTCTGAGGAGGTGGGTGTGTTGATAAAGTAGACGGCTGTGGAGAGTGGTCTAGGGAGTCTTAAAGACATCCTAGACATAAGTGTATATTGGTCAGATAGCAACACAACTGAGCTTTGTAATCAAATCATAATGTATCACCACCACTTTCATTCTTCAACAAGGTAACTTCAAGATTTAAGATGGCAAACAACCAAATCACTTACTACGTCGTTTTCCCGAAAATAACCAGGCTACAAAGTCAGTATACCATGCAGGTTGAGAAAAAATAACTTTGTTTGAAAGCTCAGAGTGGAGGAAGGAGAGCAGAATTGATATTTCAAGTACTCAACAAAGTAACCGGCGGTAAACGTCGCGGCACCCCCAGCTTGTTTTGAAAGCCCCGATTAAGCTGGATTAGCACACATCTACATTTGGATACATCTGCAAATCCGTTAATTCAAACTTTGGCAAATACTTCTATTGACCCGGACAAGATTTCTGGGGAAAATACCCATGTCTATACATACACAAGCTGCTGGGAAGATTGGTTTTGAAGTATTTCGTTAACCTAGGATTAAGGTAACCGGGTTTTGGACAACCGGCCCCATAAAAAAAAACTATATGTGGATAAAAAAACTCACATGTTCACTGGCGGAGTCACTTTCTTCTTTCTGGTCTAAATAATGAAAGAATTAGTATTAAAATTACGTCAGCATTATACTGGATAGATAGCTCTTATCAGTTCTAAACTGTTCTCCCTAGAGGTCTAGTAAGGATCATCTCTTCAGATTGTTCCAATCAAAGCTCCAGTGTTACTACAGGAGGAAACAAACTAAACTAACTTTATTTTTGCTGGACAGCTCTATCAGTTCTAAACAGTTCTCCCTAGAGGTCATGTAAAAGTCATCTCCAGTGTTACTACAGAAGGAAACCTAAACTAAACAGTAATACTTTATTTATATTGGATAGCTCCAACCCTTTCAAACTGGTCTCCCAAGAGAGGCTTAGTTGTCCAAACTTACTAGAACCATAGTTAACCATCCAAAGCAGTAAAATGAAGTGTAATTACTTTCCCAAACAACAAGTAAAACACGACTCGTGTTTAATTTTTATGCATGATGTATTTTACGACATGCTAATATTTTTTACTATCGCTGTAACTTCAAAGAAAACTTTATTTCCTCGAGCTAATTATAGCATACTTAGTGTAATAGACGATTTATGGGATATTAGCAATATACTTTATGATTATTTATACAATAACTTGTAAACAATTGCTTTTAGTGCACGACTGAAACTGTCAGAACATGGTATATTATATTGGAGACATTGGCATAATGAATTAAGCAAGTATATTTTGCATAACTTTGTAAGAACACCAAAGAATTCTTGGGTGAAGAGTTTCGTTAAGGAGATTCTAGTGCTGGCATCCGTGACCTACAGTAAACTTCCTTTTGACGAAACAAGATTTTTTGCATGTCTGGGAGATATGAAAGCGATCTTTCTCGAGAAAACCAAACAAACACTGCCCTCGACCTAGCCTATCAATTTTTTAAGATGACGTAATGCAGGTGGCAATGTCAAAGCGATTTGAGGCACAATATCAGTACGGATGTTACGATAAGGGGGTCGTTGAAGGTTGCACAATTTGCACGGCATGTACTGTTCATGAAATGAAAAACAATCTTCATAACAGTCAATGAGTCAATGTATTCGCTTGGAAGGAAGATCTTTTTGAACGCTCTTCTGTTGGGGGGTGCAAAATTTGAGATCATGGGGTTGGCGGGGGGTGGGGTGGGACATTAATAGAGCCAGCCAATATAATTGCACGTTGAGCATAATACTATCTCGTGATTGAATTTTACCTAAGCTATTGTGCATCATTTGTATCATTTGTTTCTAGAATAATCCAACATATCCGTATAGAACATCGACAAAATTCCTCTACTTCTCCTGACGCAATACAATATATTCTGCCATCTCCTCAGAAGTGACCAGAACAATCTCAGAAAGCTAAATGCCAAGAGTCGTACGTATGCAGCCTGTCACAAGCTTATTCATTTTTTGCCTTAACGGATCTGACCTTTCAAAAACACTGTTTAATAATGACAATGTCAATTACGCAGCATAATGTTTAATATTGAACGTGTGAACAGCTTTTCGTCCCCACTTGGGAAATGCGATATGATCTCATGCCAATGTCATCATCAAATTTGCTGACACAAAAATTTCTGAACTAAACTTATGCCTTCGGCTTTGAAACACTGTCACACATTCTGGATGGAAGTATATTTGATAAAAAAACGTGGATAATATAAATCAGCTTTTGAAAGATGTTTAAATAGAAACACTTTGACCAAAGGAGCTTCGACGAAAAAAACTTAGTATAACCCAAAATTTAATGACTGCAACGTATCGTCGGTGACATTTGTCTTGGACATCCTAAGAACAGGTCATCGCCTTAAAATAACTCATTGTGCACTGTCTTAATGCATTAGAAATATCCCAGTGATTACAGAATTGTGTCTTTGAAGTTTGAAAATGCTATTAACACATGCAGTTGGACTTTTTAATCAAAGCATAAACTTTTTGATCAAAGAAACTTCAATACTGTAAAATTAACCGAACCTTCGTTTACACGAGGTTTCCACTGTCATATCAGACCTAATATGATCAAACAAACTTCGATAGTATGTACCAGCTGCTGTATATGACGCATGCATCACTTTAATTATCATATTATCATTGACATTGAACAGCATTCGAAAAACAATTTCAATGACAAAGTTTTATAACGGACAGAAATTTCAGAAGAACAGGTCATCGCTAAAAATAGCCTAGCATGCATGCATAGTCCGTTTGATTGATAAGACACCTGCTAAAATTAATGATACCCAAGGTATCCAAGATGCCTTGATATCCGTTAGAACAATGAGTTCGAACAAAGAGTTAAAGATCGAGGGACATGCAATTTATATGCTCTCACATAGTGCTAGGTAAGAGCATAAACTTCCGACGTCGCTCGCAACGTTTTACTCATGAAATTAGCTGCAATTTGTCTTGATGCGTTCCACTTTGTTATTTTATTCTGTCTAATGCCAGACGATTTTACTGCTTAGAGAAATGTGTTGAATGTAATGGATTAATAGCCTATCTGTCTATATGTTTCTTGTTAACCAATTAAGCTGCAATGTGCCCAGATGCTCCATACTTTGTTGGTTTCTCCAATCTACGTTGAACGTATGGGCTAACTAAACCATCTGCTAATATTTCTCGTTAACCCGCTCAGCCGCAATCCGCCCTAATGCGCCTTACTGTATTATTGTACTTTCTATAATACCAAGCGATTTTATACTCATCAGGGAAAATTTTTAAATGCAGCCTAGAGTAGTTTGTAAAATATATGAGCATAGCTGGTATAATTCAGAAAGAAAATATTATGAAGGAAAATCAGCTTGACGCATGGTATTTTTCAAATTGCACGAGAAACCATACGATAAATTACATGGAAAAAATTTATGTTTTTTTTTAATTATTTCTGCTGAAAATTGCTGCATCTTATTGGCTATCTTTGTTATTGTTTCATTTTGTAATATTAGAATGTTAGGGTTTGTAATCCAATTGAGTATATATACATTTTAAGACCAGGAACGACTGCGAAAAATGCAGCACAAGGTCCTCTGGTAGGAATTGAACCTACGGCCCTGCGATTAATCGCCAATTAGAAAGCCTAAATTAGAAAGCCAATTAGAAAGCCTAAATAGTGAATTAAATTAGCACTGTATTTCTTTTTTTGCATTGTATTTCATTTTTTGGCACTGTGTTGCGAGAAGATTGCCACAACCTCGTACCCAGGGCCTTTGCGCGGTTCAGAGGCAAAGGCCCTGGGTACGAGGTTGAATATTGCACTGCTCTAAGCCAATCAGAAGCCAATCAGAATTGAGCAATTTTTGAAGTATATCATTAAGCCGGTTGCAGGCGAGCAAGTTTTCTCTGAAAAGTTTTCATATGACGATTCGTCAAAACAATCAAATTTGCGAAGTTTTCTAAGACAAGTACTAAACTAGCAGCTACTAAACAAGGGCATTTGCCATAGAAAAAATTGACGGTACAAATTTTTAACTCGTCTGTATGGGTCAACAAAGAAGAGTAATTTGAGTGGGAAGAAAATTTCCTGTACGTTCGCACTCTGCACGTGCAATTAGCAAATCAAGTCCCATCGTTGAAAACCTGTTCGCCAAGAACATCGAATGAAGTGCCTTCGTTTGGCAACTATATAAACTTCGAGACAAAGGCCCTTTGCCTGGAACATCTGTAAAGGCCCAGACTTGCAGAACTAGACTTGCAAATACACAGAACATTCGTAACTCATCTACACGCGTAAAAATCTCACATCTTGTATAAGTCTGCCAACAAGCCGTCAACAAGTTGTGTTCGCACTGCTTGTCCCAAGTTGTCAACAAGTTTGGAACAAGCTGTTAACAACTTGTAACAACCTTGTTGATACTATCAGACTTGTTGCAAAGTTGTTCCAACAAGTCTAACACAGTTATGACATAACAATATTGTTACAACCTTGCGTCGTCAACCTTGTAACATTCTTGTTATATCAGACTGTATCAAACTTGTTAGAGCAACCTTGCAACAAATCTGATAATGCCATCAAGCTTGTTACAAGTTGTCAACAGCCTGGGAACAAGCAGTGCGAACACAACTTGTCAACAGCTTGTGAACAGATATTTGTAACAACTTTGTTTGCAGACCTGCATGTAACAACCTTTTTTGTGCGTTTTTACGTATTCGTTCACATGCATCAGAACCTGTTTAATTATGCAGCGTCAGCATCCTTACATTTTCAATAACAAGGTCAAGTGGCATGAAATATCGCGTTCAAACCCAAAATCATGTGATATATACTAGCGCTATAAACATCAGACTAGTTTACATGACTATCGACGAATATCGTGATTATACAGTAGGAATTTTGCATGGCTAAGTTTTGAAGGATTTTGAGGGAAACGACTCAATTGTTCAACACTGTCTCAGTATACCCTCCAACATTTCTTACAAATCCTTCAAAACTTAGAATTTTATATATACCTATGGCGGCTATGCAAAATTCAGCCTCCTGCATGTGATCACAGAAACTTTGACAGTGTAAACATGCCTATAAAAATAACTATAAAATTTATTCACGCACTTGCTAACAGTAAATACTTGTCCACAGTGACAGCCCCCGTGTATAATGTATTAATGAGGTATTGTTTTGCACGATATTGGCTACTCAGTAGTTATTATTGATAATGTCGATATATATTGGCAGCAATTGTATTAAAATTAGAAAAAAAAGTTTAATGACCAGCAAATTATTGCAAAAACCTTACACAAGGCATAGCAACGGAAACACACAAAAACAACAGAATTAATTCAGGCTAACGAGTTCATTCCGGCTTTGTATATAGCATAGTTTTTTTTTGGAAAATAAAATCCAGAATGTTGAGAAATTATATTATATGATTTCCATCCGGTAATGCTAATAATTCTGTTAGCCTTTCTCAAGCATGTATATAATGTAAACAGGAGTTGTTCGCCATTTTTGGGTGGCAAACAGGACAGGGTTGCCCTAATTCTACGAGGCTCCAGGAAGAACAGCTTAGAACTGATACAGCTACCCATGCAAGTTTAACTACGTACGTTGGTTTTGTTGAGAAACAAAGTTAATGGCGTATTGAACATATAGCAAGTTCCCTCAAATGTTTCTTACAAATTTTTGCAAAATTCTTGATCCGACTAGCCGCCATAGAACAACATGCACATAGCGCCTGGGTACAAGACAGAGATCCGACAGAATCTTTCCTAGTACAGTTCCGTGCAGTAACAAAATTATTGTCGAAGCTAAATATATACATTATAACGTTAATTATATAGAGTTTTTATCTTAGACCTGAAATATACATTATGTAAACTATGGCCTATGCATGCATGCCTACGCATCTTGCAAAATCTTGGCCCAAAGGTAAAATTTCGCCAGATTGACGATTGTTCATGGTTAAACAATAACGCCCTCACGTATATACCGCAAACATTCTCCATAATTAGAAATATAATATATATACAGTAATTATAAAATTCCTCTAAAATTGGTCTCACTAAAATATATGAATCGGCTTAAATTGTGTGCTTTATCAAATAAAATACAACTAAAATATTTTGTTGGGATTGTATTCTGTAATTATATTGTTATTCTAATGCTATCTGTCTATTTTCGATATTATATATACCTGTTGTGGAAAAGCCACTTGCTAAATGACGACATTCCAAAAATTACGAAATTATTTACAGATACGATAATGATTATTAACGCTGTAGTTAGTCTTAGCAGTTGGAATTTATGTTTTTCCCCTAAAAACGAATATAACTATACTTTATTTGACTTATCTCAATTTGGGTTTCCAATATACAAAGAAATACAATGTTGGACTCGTAAAAGAGTTCGGCATGTTAAATTATATATAATCATAATGCATTTCATTAAAATATATATATACATGAATGCTATAATGCATATTTTGGTATGTTTCGGTAAAAAACACGCCAACCCATTTCTCATGTGTAATAGTATTCTACAATATAAAGCTTCTGTGTGTCGTGTCTGAGCTGCCTGAAATTGAAGATCTCAAACGTAAGGCCGGTAAGGGTCCTGAGTGTAGGTAGTACATTCTTCAATATTCAATAAGCTGTCGTGGTTTGTGTTTGAACTACTAGCTGAAAAAGATATCTCAAACGTGGCGGCGCAATGTTGGTAGTATTCTACAGTACAATAAGCTGCCATGGTTTGTGCCTGAGCTCATACCTGAAATTGAAGATATCTCGAACGTAGAGGTCCAGTGTAGGTATAGTATTCTTCAATAAGCGTCGTGGTTTTGTGTCTGAACTACCTGAAGAAGATATCTCAAACGTGGTGGTCCAGTGTAGGTATAGTATTCTTCAATAAGCTGCCATGGTTTGTTAAGTTCTGAACTATATACTTCATGAAGAAGATATCTCAAACGTGGTGGTCCATGGTTTGTTGCTGAACTACCTGAAGAAGATATCTCAAACGTGGTGGTCCAGTGTAGGTAGTATTCTACAATAAGCTGTCGTGGTTTGTGTCTGAACTACCGGCTGAAAAAGATTAATTAAAAACACCGACTTCGACATTTATATGAGCAAAGGCCATTTTCTCAGGAGATCAATGGCCACTTTCAACCGCTAGCTGACGAAGGGCTGCCGGTACTAAGGAACTGCTGACAAAGTACTTCGTGTCTTTAATTAATCTTCTTCAGGTAGCTCACACAAACCACGATAGCTAATTCTATTTATTAATCCAGTCCATAAAAATAACTGTATATCATTCTATAGTGATAATAGAACCTAAATATCATATATTAATTATATTATATGGCCATTAGTGCATTATATTTAAAATACAACTCAACAATTCAGTATAGATAACAACATTTACGACCAAAATAAACCGCAATGCCTTTTATAACCGCTACTTACTTTAAAAAGTATGATACTATTTGGTTTAAAGTTAAAACTGCTTTGAAATGTTTAAATATGACAAGACAATTATATTATACGGCCATATATTAATAATTATATTCACAATATAAACACAAGACAATCAGCAAACTTCGCTTAAAAGCCGCTTGTTTTGCGATGCAATTAACGGCAGAAAGCCTATTCAAATATCACTCACTATTTTTAAAACAATAAAGGGCAACCTGGCCGCAAAAATGAGCACAAAAAGAAATTCCTCCCATAATTTCAAAACACAAATGTCTTACCCTGTCAAGTGTTGAGCATGTAAAATTCGGCTCTAGCGTTCGCTGTAAATTGGCAAACCACCATGGCAAAATCCTGCTGTCTTCGGGGCTTTTCATGGCTCCTCGTTATTGTCCAACCACGCAGCCGACACAGAATTTATCCAAGAGCAGACATTCGTTGTCTAGCTCAATAGATACAAAAGAATAAAGCCTTGCAAAAGCGACAATGTAAGCGGGCTACACACAGGTGGTCGGGTATAATAATACACTTATAGTTTTCAAATATGAAGGTACTTGAAAAGCACCTGGGCGTTAAATCCACTTGTACGTCACAATGACGACGAAATGTCGAAATCTTTGAAGAAATTGAATAGCTTGTGGTCGAATTATAAATAAAATGAAAGTTCTAGGCAGAGCAATTCGTTTTTCGTTTGTGTTTGTGCTGTCATTAAATGCCTTTGTAAAGATTTTGAATAGCTTGTGGCCAAATTAAAGATAACAGGATGTTATAGCGAGTATTTAGTTTGCCTTTATCGTGTTAATATATCTTTTGGGGGAAGACTTTTCAGCCCAGGGAAAATTTCACGAACTGAAATTGTTTCACAATTTGTCTATTATACAATGGTAAATTTCATCCCAAACTGTGTTTGTGAAACGTCAGCTCGAAGCGGAATAAAATCTTAGCCCAACCTGAAATAGTCTCAAAAAGCGGATGGGATTGAAACACGGACCGACTAATCGGTTACCACAGTGACGTACTACCCTATTACTCGAAGCGGACGGCAATGTACGCGCTGTTTCTTGGAAAATAACATATTACAGGTATTACTTGGCTATTCAGTGATTATTTTTCAATCGCTTACTCACATTACATACTGCCTAGCTTAATCATTAGTATATTGATATAACTTTCCTCAATTTAATAGGCCTAACAGTAACCCATCCTGTGGGGAAAAATTCGAAGTTCCCGGAGTTGGTTCATTGAACACCGCGGTCAAACGTCAAGCGCATGCGCGAGTCTACGAAAATGGCGGGGAAAATGTCTGCCAAAATATTAGATATACGGGAAATGCGTTTATTTTAGGGAAACGGCTCAAGTTATAAGCTCAGGAATTTCATAGACAAGCGTTAAGTCGTCATGAAAATAGTTCGTGCACTTAAATTCGCCAATGACTCGCTACGAATACACGTTGACTCGATAGTCTCGATGGCGCAGTACGCCAGTCGTTAGAGCAAGCGCCTTTCACCTCTGAGATCGTGGGCTCAATTCTCGCTACGGACTCATGTGAAAAGAGTCAGTCAACGCTCTGCCGAAAGTCGTGGGTTTTCTCCGGGTGTTCCGGTTTCCTCCCACAGGGAAAGTTGTCAGGGTGGGTTAGGATAAACATAGTTAGGAAAGTAATATCACAATTGTTGTAAAGATAATTAGTCTAGACTGCAAAGAACGCCCAGCCTGTGACAATGTTGTTGAAAACAGGCCTGAACAATATTTTGCTGCCCATATTGTTCCTGGTCGTTATGAACAATATTGTTCAGCATTGTTCAGCAGAACAATGTAACTTTTCCAGGCCGCGTTTTTTCCTGTGTAGACTGAGTAGACAATACAAGTAAGCGTAATACTTGATGTAATCGGTCACTGAAAAGCCCGGTTGGAGAGTGAGCTGAATAATATATGTCTAGCACAATATTCAATAGAGAAATTTGGCCAAAGTTTGGTTATACCAAATTCATAACTTTACTGAGATAACTCACATGCCTAGTTACTATTATTCTAGCTTACAGAAACATAAAATAGAGCGTTTGCACTCATTCGCCAGGGACCAAGTCAACAGAAGCCATGGCGGCACGTTGGTATTCCTGACAAAAGAGTCTAATTAAAATTCCTTTGAATTGGAACTGGTACATGGCGGCTGTGACGTCATGTGCAAACGCTCTACAGAACAAACTAAGTATTAAACTAAAGATCTCAAAACTCACTAATAATGCATGCCACTAATAAGTTAGCCAACCATATTGCTTTATTCTGCTCACATGATAAAATGCAATTAATTCACATCACTTTAAGTAGTGATTTATTCCTATGAGATGTCATTTCAAATCCTCCAATTCGGACTGGTTGATTCAGGCTTCGTCTCGGACTTGATCAAATTGCGCGTACTTGAAATCTGGTCCAGTCGTCATTGTCGGATTTGAAATATTACTTAACTAAGCTTTGGAATTATGATAATTATCCACACGAGTGAATGATTCTTATACATAATTCTCATACATAACTAACGCACTGTCGCTGAGCGCAAAGTTGTGGCAGGTTTGCGCAAAGTTGTGGCAGGTTTGCGCGCCGAGAACTTATCAAACACACGATTAAATTGAATTATATGTGGGCATTGTGGTTTTCATCAAACCTGTGTCACAAATAATTTATTGTCGGCTGGATATACTGTTCTTATCAATACTAAAATTTCTACAACAACGCCTAGTTTTATCTACCTGCTTTGTGAAATACTTGACAGTCGCTGATAGGTCCAAGACATCGTTCAAGAAAGGCATATCGTAATTTTAACACAACCAAGAACATTCGACCATGTGTACGACACGCGGTTTGTTATAATAAACTCAAACAACTTTTAATTATACAATTGCCAAAATGAAACAAGACACCAGCAGCGGTCTCACTTTCATAACACAAGAGTCGACAAATTCCATGGCACTCCCAAAACTTACAAGAGTAAACATGTCAACTGCGGCTTACTGGTTTAATCAATTAACAAATTCTGTTTAGAATTCAAAATTTCTTGAACCTAATGCGCTCAAGTAGATTATATTTAGTGATGACAGAAAACAAAGGTTAGGTAAGGTTATATCAGAGGCAAATTGTTTGAAAGCTGATGCGCTTTTTAAATCTACAATCTTTGGTAAAAAACTATGGGGTATAATCTTACACCATTAGTATTGTATTGGCTTTTTTCATACATATAAAGATCAGGCTATCAGCTGTCGAATGCTCTACCTTTCTTGCATATCATTGCGATTAAAAATAGCCAAATTCGATTCGGTTTAAAATGCCGGTCGAAATCACATTCTGGAAGCTTGCAGACTCACAATGGCATACGTTTTCCAAATGCGCAACAAGCATTCGGACAAATGTTCGAAATTTGGAAGAACATTTAAATCCCAAAGGTGAAAAATGTGAATTCAAATCATCTTTAAAACAGATCGAATTCGTTCATTTTTTACCGCAATCCAGAAAGTGCAGGAAATGGCATTTACACATGGCGCTTTCTTTAAGGTTGTCCACGAGCAAAGCGGAAAAGTCGAATACGAACGCGAAAGGCTGCAAATTAATGAATTTTCAAAGCGGTTCCCAGCAGCCTTTCGCGCTCGTATTCGACTTGTGTGGCGTCGAATTCGAATCAAAGCGCGGTCGAAATAAAGAACTTCCTAACCATTTACTACGTTACATCTTGTATAAATGATTCATCATTTGTTCTTTTAATTCGACTAAATCTTTAATCTAATAAACAAATCAATTTCATATGATTGCGTGTTATATTTGCGTCTCCTGACTTTCAACGAGGCTGGGCGTTGAAAATCTTCAAAAGCAATTTCCTTTTACACTATCGAGATAAAGACGTTTAGTAAACGAAGATCATGTTACAAAATATCACGAAAGCATTATGAGTTTATGACCTTTGATTTGAAGAGGGTTGGATGACATGATCCAGATTACTGAATATCTTTGTAAGTTTATTTTCATATTTAGTAAAATGGAATGAAACGAGTGTCTTGAAGCTTGTATCATAAATATTATGTAAAACACATTAATAATCAATAAAGAAAATTCAAAATGTAAAAGAAATCAATGTTTAATTAATGAGGTGTTGTATCACCACTATCACATATACAAAATTCTCCTGACTTGCATAATTTTTTCTTCTACTTTCTCATTTAAAATCATCAATAATTTCTTAAAACACAACTGTCGAAATGTGTAATTCCTCCCCCCACTGTGAAACTCAGGTAAAAATCAGGTAAAATACAAGTTAAAATTTTTGACATTTTCAGGTAAAATTTGCGTAATAAAGTCGTTATTTTTGTGAAATGATAATCATTTTTGTAAAATACAGTCAATTTACATCCAATTCGTTTGCGAATTTGCTTTAGAAAATGCCAGAAATGCAGTCCTGGAGCTTCAAAAATTTTAAAATTTTCTCAGACCCCCTTTTCTTCGAAAACATAGTATGACAGTGGAAATCAATCAGAAAAAGCTCTATTATAATTATTACACTTCAGGTAATTTTCTAACATTAAGTTCAAATTTCAGGTAAAATCCTCCAACACCCCCCCCCCCCTAACTTCAAACGCTTCGCTATGTCCATGTAGTGTTGTATCAGACATACAACCTCTCGCGTTTGGCTCGAGTTTGTATATCTGATATAACCCGTGCATGCTGAATTTGCCTTTTTCAAGTGCGCCTCAAAAGTACGTAATGGAACGAATGACTTTGACTGTACATTACGCCATTACGTATTCGACAACATAGTATACTTGACTCAGTATGTATGTTACATGTCTCAAATGACAAATAAGGAGTTTCTCCTTAGGATCAAGAGATCGCTCATCTTTCCAAGTTTTAAAATAGGGATGACACTGAAATGCAATCCTTAGCATTCCATATTTCTACGATTGCTAGGAAACGTACCAGACACTCGCGGTTTATAAAATACAGGAAACGATTTCTAAAAGTTTCCTAAATCCGCAATATACAATTATATATAGACACACCCCTGTCGCGTCGCGTTTTAAGACACTTCCTTCTTTAAAGATATAAATTAAACTAACTTTATTTCTAATTAATACTGGATAGCTTTATCAGTTAGTAAAGTATTTAAAAGATCATCTCTTGGTTCTTCATTATTACTACAGCATGAAACTGAAATTAATTAACTTTATTTATTAACTGGATAGCTCTATTAGGTCTAAACAGTTCTCCCTAGATGTCCAGTAAGAAAGATACCGGATCCACAATGCTTATGATTTTTGAAGTCCATGAGACACTACAGGGTGTATAAAAAAAAGCGCAATCCTCGACTGAAATGTAAATTGCTAAACAAATAATAGACGAAAACGTTAAAGTTTACATTCATTTTAAAGCGTAGCCATTCAGCTTTTTAACAGTGGGTTGTTTCTTAAATTTGACTCATTGGTTCGCGGGTAATAATACTTTACGTTATTGCGATTGGAGATTAAAAAAAGTGAGATGGAATAACAAATCGTTCTCATGAAAATAACTGATTTTTTCATTAAAACAAAAAATGTTGCATTTTATTAAATGGATTGTAACAATAAGTATAATTACGGCTTTTTTTCCGCTATTTTTAACTCAGTTTGAAACTTCAAATGCGATATAATTTTGGCTTGGACCATCTAAGCTGACTGACATCAACTTGCTATAATTTCTGTTTACATCACATCGCAATTCGATGACACTCTGGCTCAGACACCAGAATGTTTTGACGATTTTTAGCATTCGTTTAGGATTTTCAAACAACCTGGTCTCTTTTAGAATACTTTTAATTTGTTCTTACGTGGTTTTCCAGATGTAGTGACGACAACATTAAAATTTAAAGAAGAAAATTCTAACATTTAAACCGACTAAATAACATAGTAAACTTGCATAATTAAACAGCAACTAAAAATGATAGGTTTTACTAAATCTTTTCCTGTGCAATTATTACTAGCATTCTGAAAAGATTTATTCATAGATTGAGCATAGCTAGATACATTAAAAATATATAAAACCCATTAAAGCAATTCGTTTAAAAAGGTTCAAGTTAGTACAAAGTGTCAAACAAACTAGTATTATTTATATAAAAAGGAACTCTATAGTGCCCCTCAAACATAGAAGGGAAGATCTCAGCAGACAAAAAGAGAGTTTCGTACGTAGCCAAGACATAGTTATTGAGTATGGTTTGCCAAATTTGGCTGCCAGCTTTGTAGCAAGAATCTTGTGAAATCTCGCACATTGTTACTAGCACATTATTACTAGCATTGGAGACAAGGATAATAGTTTGTTTGAAAGAGAAAAGAACAGGCTTTGAAGTAAGCCTAAAAGCGTTTAACGAGAAATAGTATTTCGAAAGTTATTAAGCACAAAAGATGAATTGCGTTTATTTTGATACACCCTGTATAAGATCAAAACCGCATGCGCAACAACGATTTCGTCATTTAGCCCTTCTGACAGCAAGTTAGAATTATGGCAAAATCACTTTCCCTTCATCCAGCGCAGGATATGTTAATTAGGTATAAATCACTTTGCTATACTGATCCCAAACAAAATGCTGTATTTACCTTAGCATACCAGAATGTTTTGTACAAGCGCTTCAGTTTGAAAACAGCCCTATTCAACCATCACACGAGAACACAATAGCTTCTGACCTCCTGCTCTGTCTTAGCTCCAAACAACAAAGAGTCGAGGCATTTAATGGTTTTATAACATACGAATTCCCAACTTATCTGCGATTGATATCATAAACGTTTTGCGCGTGTCAGACTAAATGTATGCCTTAATAGAAAGGTGCAGGTCACGCAAGCGTCTGTAGCTATGTAAACAGCACTGCAATAGATCAAATTTACAATGTCTTCACAGGCAATAGATTTCAAATATGTCATCGTGTGCCATAGAGGTCTAACAGTTATCAGTAAATCAGATTACTGTACGATTGAGAGATATTTTATTGCCTTTCAAAGAGTACACCACTCAGATTGTTGGATTACTTTATCTGTAACTACATTCGCAGACAGTTAAACTGAGTGAAGTCGCGAAGGAAGATTGTCAACGTGGGTGGAGCAAGGGGTATGCAAAGTCACAGGGGTGTGCATCCCCAAGGGAAGAAGTCGACATGCATAAACAATTGACAAAATTCGCTTGCATAATATAAACAATTAGGTGTAAATTGACCAATTGAGACCACGTGTCAAAACAGATTCTTTGTTTAGCTACTGATGAAAAATAAATATGTTATGCAAAATTTCGGCAAGTTATTTCCAAGTTCGGCAGCAGTTCAGCGGCATTTTTTTTTGTCTTTACTGTCGTGCCAATTGAAGTGTTCCTCAAATATTGATTCAATACATTGCCTCGGGCTGACCAATTCATTTGATCAAGTTCCTCGAGATATTCATACACTTCCTGTGAAAGAACCAATTCCAAGAATTTGATAATTTCTGGTCACTTCCTTTCTATTTATGATTGGTTAGTTGCACAAACAACAAAGGTGATTGGTGCATTCAAACTATTCAACAGGAAGTTTATAATTATACTAGGAAGTGTATGAATATCTCGAGGAACTTGATCAAATGAATTGGTCAGCCCGAGGCAATGTATTGAATCAATATTTGAGGAACACTTCAATTGGAACGACAGTAAATGACAGTTTGAAGATGCAACAGAATAATAATGTATTATATGCATTTACTTGTTGCTAATGTCTTTGATAGAGATTAGAACTGAATTGTTCTTACAGCATTCTCTTGACTCTACTGGTCATAAGTGTTTTATATTCGTGCTATATTCACTTTCACATACTTAATTAAATCTTACTATACCGCATTAGATACAAATTATAACGTGGATGATCCTCGAACGTGGACTGAAATAATTTGAGTGAAGTCGCGAAGGAAGATTGGGTGGGTGGAGCAAGGGTTATATGCAAGTTCATAGCGGTGCGCACCCAAGGGTGACATGACAATTAGAAGTAAATTGATCAATTCAGACCACGTGTAAAAACAGATTCTTTACAACAATTGTGATATTACTTTCCTAACTGTGTTTATCCTAACCCACCCTGTCAACTTTCCCTGTGGGAGGAAACCGGAGCGCCGGAGAAAACCCACGACTTTCGGCAGAGCGTTGACTGACTCTTTTTCTGTTTTCACACGAGTCCGTAGCGAGAATCGAACCACGAACTCAGAGGTGAAAGGCGCTTACTCTGAGAACTGCGCCACCGAAGGGCCCTTACAGTCATTTGAAATATATATAGAGACAGATGACAGCCCAAGCGTTTAGCATGATCACCACCTATCGTATAGTTCTACTTTATGACCATAATACTGAGCTCAATCATAGGCTGTTATCGCGAGTTCCAAATTTTACCCCTGCCTAAGATCTCGTTATCATGTCACAATTTCGATACATGTGCTTCTAGTCTAGATAAACTATTGTGAAACTTACGTAAGAAATGACACAATTAGCGATATAAAACTAGAGTCAAGCCTCTCCTCATTGACACCTCTCTGAGATGGATACCATCCAATACCTCAATTACCTCTCTGAGTCAAACATCTATTATATCACTTTTTGAGTGCAAATCAATTCTATTCTATTCTATATCACTATATTTACGACCTCCCTTAAGTGGGCATCCCCCCCCCCTCCCCCCACCTCCATTAAGCGGTTGACGCAAGTACCACTTTATTAAATGGAGAATTTTTTAACAAAATATCTTCGCAGGAAATTCTCTTACATCTTGCAAGAATTTTTTGTCATGATCTTATATACTGGAACGCCATATATAATTTACTTGTTTCACAAAAGCGTTTTGCAATTCGAGATTGTCTTGTGCCGAAATTGCAGTTTATCATAATGTGCGGCGCCATACGTTCTCTGAAATCTACATATTCAGGTTTTATATTTGACTTACACAGGAAATTTTTATTTTGGAATTTTGCTGCCAAAAAGAGAATATATTTTCTAGGTCCGATGGAGCGTTTGGTCGCCGGGGCTGATGGAACTAGGCAATTTACTATGTGCGGTGTATAGTATACAAATAATGAATGTTTATGAGTGCAATGGTAAGAATATTTTCATGAGGTGAAAGATGGAATATTCCATTCAACGAGGCGACAGCCGAGTTGAATGGAACATTCCATCTTTCACCGAATGAAAATATTCTTACCATTGCACGAATAATAACATTCATTATTTGTTTTATATAATACCAAAATAGACTAATATTAAAAGGTTTACTGTAAGCTTTCGCCATTTTGACGAGTCGTATTTGCATTAAATCCCATTTACTGAGTTTCGAATATCGGGTTAAAATAAACTGCGATCACCGTACGAGAAGCATTCTGACGGATGCGATTTATCGAAAACACAAAGAGTGCAATGGAACAAAACGTATAGTACAATTGCACTCGCAAGAGTGCAATGGAACGTATTCCATTGCACTCTTGGGAAATGGAATTTTCTATTCAATATCACGTGACCATAAACAGCCAATTAAACGATCAGAATTCAATAAGGTATTATATAATATTGAATCGCATACATAGTCACAGCAAGGGGACAAAGATGGTATAACTTCAAAATAAAACTACAGTATGTTGGTATATAGTTTTTGAAAATGCTCAGGACTTCATGAAAAGTAGTTTACCCAAAGATATTTATCTGCATACCAAATGAGCTATATTTTGCAGTTCTCCATCCAGTGTATAATATGAGATCAACTGGATTTTCCATTTTGTCTCTGGAAATTCATTACCAATCTCAGGTGAAAATTATAGTCGCTGTCTACGCCCTAGCAGCTAACAAAACCCTGGCGATTAACAAAGCAATGAAAACAAAACTCAGAAAAACTTACCAATGCGTCGGTGCTCGGGGAACATGGCGCTGAAGAGTAGTATGTCTGTGAAGAATTATAACTGAATGGTGTGCTGTCCGTCTGAGTGTCACCGCAACCAATTGATGTCCGTCGTTCTATATCTTCTTCAAGAAACCAAGCTGCACCTGCGAAATAATGGCGAGTGGTTTTATGTGGAATTGGAACATGTGAAATAGCCTAGTTCATTTCATGCGACTTTTTTACCCCAGATTGGATCACCTTGGGTTAAGAAAGTCGGTGATTTTTGCTCGCGATCAAATTCTGCCCGCCAATCTAAAGGCGATGCCTGCAATGCCTGATATTTAACAATTATTCGCCGAAGGCGAGGTGATTATCGGGAAATATTCACCGAGACGAGCCTGAGGCGAATAATTGTTTTAGTATTTTTGTACAAGTCTTTTGTGGGGGTTTTTTATTGAATTCATTTTAATTTCGCTTATTTCTTTGTCTGTGATTTCCACAAAACGGCTAGTCGCCATTTTGTAAATTAGTTTTTACTGTTATATTCACCGGTGGATGAATATAATGGAATATCACGTCAAATTTTACCAATCGCCACGTCGGATTTCTTGTGTAAAAATACTAAAAGCTTATAGTTCTATACGCATGTACGTACGTAGACTACTAAACTTCAGACGCATCTGTCGTCAGTATTCATTTGTTAATTTAACTCTAATTGATATGGAAGAAAAACAGCACTATTTGCATGTCAATAAACAGGCGTCCGCATATACATCAATGTCGCATAATAAACATATATGCATATAGTAAACACAGCGTGAGCTCTTTATAAATCGAATCTGCGGTCTTGGGCAGCAAGCAAGGAATAGCTTAGTCGGTTAGAGCGCTGCGCCGGAATCCCAGGCGTTAAAATATCTATTCATGTATTCTTTTACAGGGTCGTCTGACAAAACGTCCGATGACTTTGAGTTTGGCTCGGATATATGTATGATGATGTCCGATGTCCTTCAGTTCAGTTTGGCTCGGAAATAAGTCTGAATGACATGCACAAATTAATATCAGTACAATGTATTAATTTTGAACTAAGTGTTGTGAAGAAGATATTAAATCATTTGTGTCATTCATACTTATATTTCCAAGCCAAACAGTAACTTGCTTGCCAATAACAGTAGTAGTAGACGTCGACAACTATAAGCCCGTTCTCCATTTCGCTCGCCGCCCCGCGCTCTCAATTACATTAAAACAGCATTTCCGGTTTACTTTTTACACTGATTACTCTGATTCTCCATTTAACGTACGAGCCTCTAGTCCTGGACTAGGGTAAATTTTGATTTGCGTCGGACAAAGTTACAGTTAGGTCGGACACCAATACACTCGGATCGGACAAACAATAAACCTCAGTTTCACTTAGGTCTGACAGAATGTCAGGTGGCTTCTCCTCTACGAGTCGGACAATTTTACAAATGGGTCGGACAATGTCCGTGACCGATCGATATTTGAAGGCCTGGGAATCACAGGGCCTACAGAAAAAATAAACTTATATATGCTTCTAGTAAACACATGCAGCGAGCTCTTCATCAATATATATTACAGATACAGGAATACAAAGTATGAATCCAGCTAAAGACTAAATTTTGATCTGGGCAAGAGGAACAAAATCCATCGCCACAGCTAGAAAGAACATGTTAAAATTAGTAAAATTACAAAGTTTGGTTGCGAAATGTTGTAAAATGCGGAAAATATAGCGCTGCGAAATTTGCAAATTTTGCAGTAGTAATTTGTATGACACGCGGGAAAATGCATCACATTTGGGCCGAAAGTGGTGCATTTTCCCGTGCGTAATACAAATTAATACAAAATTTGCAAATTTCGCAGCGCTATATTTTCCACATTTTACAACATTTCGCAACCAAACTTTGCAATTTTACTCATTTTAAGATGCTCTTTCTAGCTGTGGTGATGTATTTTGTTCTTCTTGCCTAGATCAAAATTTAGTCTATATGCGATAGCTGGACACATCCATTGTTGATAGCTGTGAGCTTCGCATGGCCAGTCCAGAAATATGTGTGACATAATACAACGAATAAATATTGCAACGATAACAGTGTCAAACCATTTAATAGTTCCGAAGTTCAAAACCATCTGCTGCCTTGCAACGCTTATAAAACAGGTCCAACACGACAAGTATTCATGACACCAGCCTACCTTTTGGCGAGACAAGAAACTTTACTTTTAGTGGTGCTTTGGCCAACTGAAACATCCTGTTAGTTTTCTCAAATGTTGAAGGAATCGAAGCAAGAGTAAATGAACGTAATAATCTTCGTTTTCGGCACTTCGGCGTCTTTTCTTGATTATTTCTAAACAAAGATTAACAATCTCACTAATAAAGTTGAATAATTCATCATTTTGAAAAACTCGATTGATGTAACCGTGCCATTTATGGCGCAAGGAAAGACGAAATGATTTAAAAAGGATTTTTTAGAATACGACATAGTGACATATTCAATGATGCATGTGCGTCGTTCTCAAGCCTTTTCAGTCAATTTGAAATTTGATTTCACCACTTTATAAACAAACTCAATGAGGATGGAACTTGTTGAGAAAGAGTTGGAAGTCACAAACTGTCACAGCCACAGGGGACATTTCAAGCTCTAGATTAACAAAACAAAGGTTTGATGAGTGTTCCAACTATGTTTTAACTTAAATAGAATACATGATAGTTTTGGGAAAGCATGCCATTATGCCATCAAGAACAGCCAACCAAGGTCTCTCCTCGACTCTCGTCAATTTCAACTGGTTCAAGTTTTAACGAGAGTTGATGAGAGCGGTTTTCGCTACGCGTGCGGTATAATATCTATTCAATTAACTCTCATCAACTCTTATGCAACTCTTGTTCTCGTTTGACCGGGGCATGAGAGTTGGGAAAACTCTCATACAAACTCTCGCTTCTCAACTCTCATCAACTCTCATACAACTCTTGTTCTCGTTTGACCGGGGCATGAGAGTCAGGAGAAAACTCTCATGCAAACTCTCGCTTCTCAACTCTCATCAACTCTCATACAACTCTTGTTCTCGTTTGACCGAGGCATGAGAGTTGAGAAAACTCTCATGCAAACTCTCGCTTCTCAACTCTCATCAACTCTCATGCAACTCTTGTTTTCGTTTGACCGAGGCATGAGAGTTGAGAAAACTCTCATACAAACTCTCGCTTCTCAACTCTCATCAACTCTCATGCAACTCTTGTTTTCGTTTGACCGGGGTATGAGAGTTGAGAAAACTCTCATGCAAACTCTCGCTTCTCAACACGACGCATCATCGTATAAAATAGAAAAAAAATGTGTATAAACGCATGCAAACAGATGGATCATTTGTCAAGATAAACCCACCCACGCAAGTTCACAGTAATTAAACGAACTGCGTAGATAGTCCGCCATAATGAACGATGCACCTGTTTGCCTGTGTTTATGCGCATACGAATTACCATACTGCCTTTTCTTTGCCCAAGATGTATCCACACCGGGAATTCGTATATAGGAATAGAGTTTATGAGAGTTGAGAAGCGCGAGTTTGCATATGAGTTTTCTCAACTCACGTGCCCCTGTCAAACGAGAACAAGAGTTGCATGAGAGTTGACTAGATGCAAATTCTTGCTTCTCAACTCTCATCAACTCTCATGCAACTCTTGTTCTCGTTTGACCGGGGCATGAGAGTTGAGAAAACTCTGGCATGCAAACTCTCGCTTCTCAACTCTCATCAACTCTCATGCAACTCTTGTTCTCGTTTGGCCGGGCCAAGAAAGTTGAGAAAACTCTCATCAGCAAACTCTAGCTTCTCAACTCTCATCACGTACTCTCATCCGGCTAAACACACTTTCTCATTCGTTTTATCGCAAATCGTCTGCCTACGAAAATACTATTGTCTTTCATTACTTTACCTTTAATTCTAACAAAACCTTCTTAGTTTTACACGTCGAAAGAGATGACAGTCGAAGAAACGCAGTCGACAGCTATAACTTAGATACGCAACAAAGCGAATCGTGTCTATAACACAATCGCCCACGACAGCAATTTATATTGTTAAATGCAGCTTGTTATGATCTATTTTAATACTCAAATTGTAAACGGCTGTGCAAGTTTAAAAAGCGACTAATTTTTCAATTTCATTGTTTATTTTGCTAATTAAAAGCGAGGAAAAATATTGGAGGAAAGCGGAAAATTTGTCTTCTGTGCGTATTAATAAGATGACTCGTGTAATAAGACGGTTATGAGTTGTGGCGCAATATAGTTATTGGAATTATTGCTCAATAAACGAACAATTTTGGGAATTGAGATTAAGAAAAGTTAATCGGTTTGTGGCATTTGTGGGTAGAGACGGCGGCCATTATCAAATCTAGTACTCAGGCCTATTGTCAGATGAAGTAGCGCGACCGAATGCCACTGAGCTCTCTATATAACTAGATCAATATCTATGGTATTAAACGGTGTGAATACCCTCGAGGCGGACGACTCGTCAAGTTCACTTTCTCGTGTGTACCTTCAACAAGTTTTCCGTGACAAGTTTCCCTTGACAAGCTCGTGTGCAGGAATATTGTTAAATTAAACATTTATCTCACGATCAGGCCGCCATGCTTTGCTTGCCAAAACAGTAGAAGTATTTCACTTGTACATCACTGTCAAGTTTTCCCGCTTGGCAGCCGTAAACACGAACAAATTTTCTTTGTTCAAAGGCTGGCATGACTAGTTTTGGAACAAAGCTCCTTGCATGGCAAGGAAGAATTGTCAGCCGTCTTTATTAACTTTACCGTACACACAAGCAAATAAAAGTTGTCAAGGAAAATCCACCAGTCTGTATGGGGCTTCCCAAAACACCGTACCTTGACTTGTAATGCTCATGTTCACAGGGAATTCGGAGCAATCAAATCTGGATGCGGAACGAGGTTCAATTAGCGTCTTTCGAATTTTACTCAGTATTGCATGATGTTTACAGTTTCTGCCTGTTTTCCAAGGAATTATTCGCGCATGGAACACTGGAGTAATTCTGCAATTCGTCTGCATGTAGACAGTGTTTACATCTGGATTTTAAATTTGTTTTAATCTCAGCATGTCCTCACATGCAAAGGTGGCTTTACACACGGCTTTACCGAAATTGTGAATTCATGTCAATGGCATGATGCAATAATCCTCGCTGTTAAAAATCTCCCGTGAGATAAAACCTAGGTGGCATTTGTTGCGGATCCCATTAAGATTAAACGCCCACAATTCAAGAGTATTAAAATTTAAATGTAGGAGATTTGCCATCTTTCAAGACTATTTTAACGGCATAACTAGTTACATGCGCATTATAATTATTCCAGTTTTGCGCAAACTGATCAGCAATTCAGTACATCAGCAAACATAAATAACATGACACTGGTGCGTGTCACGTTATTTATTTAACCTCACACGGGGAGAATTAGATTGTTTTCATAAGATGATAACACTGTAGGTCACTACAATTTAGCATAATGCACGATTAAGTACCGAATAGTTTATTTCTATGTTAAAGGTTATATTTTCTTTGAGTGTAAAACCTGCTTTTCACTGACAAAACAAAACAAAACTTTTCTCCCGAGGCTTGCAAAGCAGAAATAATTTATTTTTAAACATTTTTTTCGTCTGCGGTCCAATGCTTATACTCAGCTAGGCAAATTTCTACAATATTTTGTATGCTATTTCTCAATTACTGGTTCGTGTTTAAATGATAAATAAGACACAAGTGTATTGACGCAGATTTCATATTGCTCTTAAATTTTAACAGAGCTAATTTTTTATGACGTATTTCACTATTTGTGCAAAAAGCTAATAAAACGCATTATACTTATAGAAAGCATTCTTCTCTGAAATTGATTTCGAAAATTCGCTTATTTCGGGCTGAGAACAGCCTAATGTCTAATGACTAATCTGGAAATGAGTAATGTTGTCTAATGAGTAATGCAAAGACGACGCACAATGAATTTCACAATATAAAAATAAAAAAATACGTTAATGAATAATGCTCTTACAAAAGTTTAGCTGTCCTCCAAGCGCTGTTTACAACATCACAATACATAATTTAACCACTTGTCGACGATGATAAGCCAATATTTCGAGTTGTGCTAATTTTTCAAACAATCTTCAATGAAACTCTTGTGAGTTTTGTATAAACTATTGACCTTGTGAAACGATATTTAATTCATGTGATGGATATAATATGGCAGTCATCTTTGAGCCTTGGCCCTTGCTTTTAAAAGTGAATACACTAGAATGTTCTAGAAAGCCGGTTTGACTGGGCAGAGTTTCAATATTCAAAAAGCGACATTCAAATAATGAAAAACAGGATGTTCGTTGCCGTGTCTTGTCTTGAAAACTCAAGTAGGTTGTCGATGAGAGTTGTGTAATATTGACTCACTCAGGTGCTCGCTTTGAAATTAAAATACTCCGTTAATTAACACATTCTTGTAAATGTAGGGCTACCATCGGCATCGCTAAGAAATGTTTAACCTATCCAAATACATTACTATACTTACATTTTATAATTATATATTACAGACATCAAACTATTATAGATAAATATCAACAGATCGGCTCATTACAATATTCAATTGCTGTTTCGAGGAGAACATCTCGACGTTTAAGTGCATACTTATAGAAGTATTTCCTAGCTGGAACCATACACTATCGTGCATACCATAAAAGGTCCATTATACTGTTATCACGTGTGCCATGCTAATCTTTTGTAGCAAAAATTGAGTGTATTGTAACAGAACAATAAACACTTAATTATGGGGTGATAATTGGAGAATTTGGGCATCGCGCGCTCGAGAAAACAGAATGGTAAGCGGCTGTGCTAATTATCCTATCCTTTATACTTGCAGCCGAAAGCTATAAGCTCCCAACGAATTGGCTTCGCTTGAAAACGTCGCGGTTTTCTGGTGTTATTGTTCTATGGTATAAATCTCATTTTTTTCCCAGCAGTGAATTGCATAGTGCTAGTACGAGATCGAGATATTGTTCCGTACTCCAAAGAACAAAGGGTTTCTACTTCTAGTGTTTATTTCGTTGGAAGAGTAAAATTGTGTGACGTAAGCATTCAGAGGCTTGTAATACAAGTGTTAAAAAAACCCCAAGTGTTTTATTAATTTGTCTTTGACGAGCCCAGAGGAAGGAAACCCGTATGAACCAGAGAACCCTCAAAACAAACGAAAGAAAAACCACAGCTTGAGTTTTTTACGTACATCGCGTCTGTACAGGATACCTATACTTACCCAACTTAAAATTCTCTTCCCGATTCAAATACATTAGCAGGATAACAGGGGAAGCCCAGAATGCTGCATCACTAGCAGTGTGGCCCTCCCATGGTGAGATATTAGAGAGGTTAATTAAGATACCCCGGTTTCGGTGTACGGGTACGAGTAGTGTCATCTTGTTTTACTGATGTCTGTAATTCGATCATACTTTTTCTGTTTTCTTGCAATAGACAATGATATAATGCGAAAAATGTGCACCTTAATTACGAGTAAAGCTACAGACATCTACGAAAATATTGCTAACCAAAATCATGCTACCCGTACACGTACACCGAAACCGGGGTTACCCGAATACCATCCCGGTTTAAGTATAATAAATATTCCAAGCTACGTCTGTCTGCCTGGATACTTAATCATAGATAAATGTAGGGCACTTGTACCCGTATTTCAACCTATATTAACAATAAAATATACTTAAATACTGCATACCAAAGTAAAATGGTCAAAACACCAACATTCCTGAAAACCCTGACTGGACCTCAGATTTTAGTTGTACCTTTAAACTGGATACCCAAGATTAAGACCCAAGGTGTACTTAGTATTTAAGATAAATTATTAATACTTAATATTTAAGATGAATTATTAATACTTAGTATTTAAGATGAAATTATTAATACTTAGTATTTTAGATGAAATTATTAATACTTAGTATTTAAGATGAAATTATTGCATTAATCTGCACACTTTTTTTAAAGGTATTCATGAAAATAATTAAGTTCAAATATGAGGAAGTATACACATATAAAAACTTGAGTTTACTGTAAAGGGTATGAGCAACAAAACAACATTTCTTATAATGGAAGTTTCTTTCATTTGAAAGAACCAGTCAAATGGTGCATATATTACAAATCTTTTGTATCTTAATTTCTTCGTTTCTGAGATATTTCAATGTGTTCGATATGCAAATTATGATGTCACAAGCTGGGTATAGAATTTAAAAACATTAAAATATCAGATAAATCTAGTTCATTGCTCAACACGCCATGTTAGTGTCACGAAGAGTTGTCATATACACATTTATCACAAGCTCTTTCAAATAAAAGAAACTTTTATTGCAAGAAATTTTTGTTGCTCATACCCTTTAATCATTTAACCACTTAACTTTGCTTCCCACAAATACCAAGTGAAAAACCGGCTTTAAGCCTTTAATCAGACTATCCATGTCTTTTTGCAACCTAATTTGTTATTTTACTCTGTCTAATGCCAGAGGATTTTAAGCATCAAGGGGGACACTTTAAGGTTAATTAGGGTTAATGCACCAGGACAAGTAAAATCTGATGATACTACCAGCTCACAGAATATCTATTTACACAATAAACAAATTATCCATCAAGATTGATAGATCTCAGCATGAATAAACGTCCACATTGAGGATCAGGGTATTCAAATGATCCTGAGGCCTGAAGGCTAGTGAGTAATGGAAGATTTTTATGACAGAAAATTGGGCATGCCTTGGCTTGCCTAAAACTTTGGTTTTCCCAAAGTACATTCAAGAGGGATTATAAAATTTTCTGTGAAGTATTCACAGCCAATCAATTTGTCTCACACAGAGGGGGAGGGGGATGTTTTTAAACATTTGGAATTTTTAAAAAGCTAAAGAACCTGACACACATATGTCTCAACAATTCATTTTTCTTAAGTTGAAAATCATGCTCAGCAGACAGTATTTATGGGTATGGCTAAACTTAGCACAAAAATATTCTGCTTGTCTGCAGAAAATTTTTATCGTGCTCACAGGAAGAAATTTATTACTCCATCCTCGCTTGATATTTTTGAGCAATTGGCAGGCTCTTTCGTCAGGAAACTTAGTTGAAAAGATAACAATAAAACTGTCATGTAGTACTAGCTTCACAGAATGTTTTATATTCTGTGCTGCAGACGATGCTGGATTCCCAAGATTCAAGAGAGATCTGTCCATTTTTGAATTACAGCAGAGAGACTCGGCAAAAATTACAATTTTAGAAAGATGTGCTGTGTAATGTTGATATAGTTTATGACAATTCGCAAAGATTCTCAAAGGACTTTCATGCAATATAAATACATTAATACAAAAGACTTCAAAAAACAGCAATGTTTATTTATTACAACTGTGGAAATTGCAACATACAAAATGTTGCAAATATAAGTGTAGCTAGCACCTAATTGCAACATATTTCAAGTAATAATGTGCATGTTGCAATTCAATGTGTTACAAAATGCTGCATTTGTTACATGTTTTACCAAACTTTATAACACAACACTTTTGAGAATGAGACAAGCACACAAAAGCGACCGCAATAAGTCATAACAATCTAAACAATAATGAAACTTGGGGGAGGCTGTAATTTAGTCGAAACCACCTGTTCAGCTCCTTTAGCTAAAGAACAAAATCTTTTGTACTGTACGACATTCCAAATGCCTTAAATAACCTCAAAACACTCTAAAATTTAATAATCCAAACAAAATATTGCCCTATAAACACGACAATATTCCTAGGACTTTCAAGTTAGCATTGAAGCAATATATAGACTCATTGTAATCTATGGACAATAATCAACCATTAACTCCAAAATTTGTTTATATGTTTTGAAAACAATAGAGAAAAATTGGATTCAGAAATAAATTTACAAAAATATCGGTCGAGGTCATTATTTTAGACAGCCGTTATACTATATACGTATTTGCACGACAGAATTTTAATTTTTTTTTTTCTTCTTGTATAAATGCTTTTGCAATATTAAAGATATTTTTTATGACGTATGCAAATTCTGCAATGCCTGCTGTTAAATCAATAAATAAAGAAAAAATAAAAGGCGAAATGTTAAACACACAATATTAAAATCGGAAACCAAGCCCCGAATTTCTCGTAAAAATTTGAGACGTTTTTCAAGTTATAAACTATCTCTTGGAGAATATTTCATAAGTTAAAGTACTCAGACAACAGGGCTATGCGCCTTATCGGCAAAACACCTGCAAAGTCAAAGTAAATATGAAACATTTCACAAAAGGTACTCACATTGCCGTTTCATCGTTTATTCCCTCGGTATTTTCATCTTGGGAGGTTTGAACGTCTGTGGTTGCTTCCCCAGGCTTGCAGACGACTTCGCTGTCGTTTTCGCACCGTCCGACCTTCGTCAAATTTTGAACACTCTTTGTGTCAGGATCCCCACTGCGGGACAGAATAGTTGATATAAACAATGAAATGAGCAAATGCTGTTTAATTTAGTTCTTACTCAGCCCACTTTATCAATTGTCTGAGTAATTTTTGTGCGACAAGACTTTAAACCTGAAAGCATATATGTGGCCGAAATTCAGACGAGTACTCACCGAACTACAATTAGAATTTGAATTATGAACCGATGATATAGAACTGCTTTTTCGCCAATTCGCTATTCGTCGTTTGCATACGCGAATCAACAATTATTGGCCGGCGAAAACGCTCTTGAGTATTTAAATTCAAAATTATACGTTCGCTGTTATGAAAGTAAAAAACATTCTCAACTATTTATATATACTTTGACGAAGTCACTGATAGCCCAATAGAGCACGTGTCCATCGATAAAAATCGTCGAATTCAACAGTATAGTATTCCCAAGGGCTCATATGACAATCGAGATCGGAAATAAATAGCCAATAGATGTAAAAGTATATACAAATACATTGTACACAACGTGCGGACTTACCTCTCAACATCTAGGGAATTTGTTTGCTCTGAACTTGGTTTCAACACTGTCGATGGATTTTCGTAAGTCTCCGAAGAGAAATTTTGCTTGGAATATTTTCGTAAACGTCCCATCATTTTGCTTATTTAAAATTTAGCATAAAACAGCTGCCCACTCCAGAGTAAAGTCGACAAAAACACTTACTGAACTCGTCCATTATAATATATAAATCCGTCGATGTATCTCATAAAAAGCGTCCTCCACCTCAACAGATCATACTTGTACCATCCCAACTTTATAATGTAACAATTGGACCGAAATATTTAGAATATAAATTCCGTACAACCGCGGTTTTCTAAAATATTTCCGAATTAGATTGTTTATACTACGAAAGGATTTATGTTCGAATTTTAACCGGATTTTCCTCGAGGCTTCATACAGCGATGTTATTTAACACGACAAATCCTACGATATTAAAACCAGACATCGTGTCTTGCCCACACGTAAAAATAAAGCTATAAAATTTTGTAAACTATAAGCCACATATACCCATAACAACATGGGCTTAACAACGCTCTCCACGCGCGCGCGCAACAGACCCGAACGTGTCACGCAGACGGCGAGTGCGTCATCATGAACCGATCCAAAGTATGGGCCATTTGCATACAGACTAAATTTTTATCTAAACAAGTCTAGACAAAAATTTCATCACAGCTTGAAAGATCATCACAAAAATAGTAATATTCCAAAGTTTCGTTGCGAAATGTTGTAAAATGCGGATAATATAGCCTTGCGAAGTTTGCCGTTTTTCAGTATTATGCGCGAATCAAATCGAAACCTTGACATCCCCCCCCGGGCATACCCCCGGGAATTTGGATTTTGACGTTTTGGTTAGGTCAAATTCCCTACATATATTTGTAATTCCCGTTCAAATACACCACGTATTGGGAAAAATTGGAGTTCAAATACCCCACCCCATGTACGAATTGGAAGCTACAGCATTACGCAATTTTGGAATTTCAAAGTTTTTCTTTCCTTCAAAAACTCTCTTCAATCGTTCAAAGCCGTTTTCATGTAGCCAACCAAGGACAAAGTTAATTCCTTTGCACTTGAAGACCTTGAACTCATCCATTAATTATTGACGCCATTTTGGATTCTGCACACGTGTTTAAAAGAAAAATTCAAATTCCCGACCCCCTTCAAATTCCCCACCTTCCACTAGAAAAAAAGGTCAAATTCCCGCCTTCTTAAAATACTAAACAAGCAAATTCCCCAGGTATGCCCGGGGGGGGGATGTCAAGGTTTCGATTTGATTCGCGCATTACAAACGGGAAATTGACAGCCCCAAAGGGTATTGGGTAGACTTGGATCAAGTCCGTCTCTCTAGAGTTGGAGTCGCGAAGCGACGAGATCGAGCGCGCCGCGAAGCGGCGCGCGAGGTGCAAGAGAGGAGGGAGAGACGGACTTGGCTCACCTGCAATGTTTCGAATCAGATTTATTATTTTGGCGGGAATTATGTTAATAGACAGGTGTTATTAATTTAGCGGTTTTGTTACAAATACGGAAACCGCAAGTGTCAGGGCAAAATTATTAAAATACCCGTCGCGATCGAAACTAAAATACGCCTTTAATATATAACTATAAGCCTTATATTTAAAGATACACTTTTTATTAAATCGTATCTATAGACTCTTCTAGTTAGTTAGTTATGACTATATGCACAAAATTTGTCCTGAACAAAATATCCCTGCCTGTATCAAAATTTCGTGTGATCATGAAGTTTGCCGTGACACTTAATATAAGTAAAAAAAATAATAGTGTGACACTAGTTGTGCAGTTTTATATAGTATAATCATATCAATAACCTTCTTAAAACGTATTCATCATTTAAGTATAAACTAAACCGGACACGAAGAGAGACAGCACCATATCTATGGACAGCACGCTATACATTTTGAAACAAGATACTTTGTTATTTCCGCTCTATTGCAATTAGCATAAATTATTGCAATCTAGTTATGACGCGTTACCGACGGAAAAACGGGTCGGTAAATTTGGCGCGCTTGCAGGTGAGCCAAGTCCGTCTTCTCCCTCAAACTTTCCCGCGTTATTGCACCTCGCGCTCTCCCTCGGACTCTAGAGAGACGGACTTGATCCAAGTCTAGGTATTGGGCTGTGCTATATTATCCGCATTTTACAACATTTCGCAACGAAACTTTGGAATCAGTTACTAATTGTGTGATGCTCTTTGAAGCTGTTATGAATTTTTTTACTAGACTTAGCTTGTTTGGATCAAAATTTAGTCTATAATGCAAATGGTCACTCTATGCCAAGTTTTCATTCGTTTCGTAATTTTCTCAATTTTTACTGTAAAGTTGATTGTTTTGGGATTTTCTCGATTAATTTGGTTAGGGGTGGAATTAGGGGCATAGGGCAGTGCGTTCGTTACAAAGCTATTTAAATTAACACATCTTCCGACAATGACTTCAAACCCCAACGACGTCATGTCAGTTTGCTGTTTGGAACTGAGAACTAACCCTTTCACACAGGCGATAAACACATGCTGACATATCATTAAAACCACTGTGCAACAACCTTATTAATTTCCATCCGTGTTGGTTAATAAGCTATGATTTCCGTAAACAATTCCGAAGACAAGTGCGTCCGATGACGCACCGACAGTGAAAACCACAAAATGCGGAAAGATGGTGCCATTTATATGCGACTCTTTTGGAAAAATAAATGATTGCATGGTAATATAAACTGTCTAAGCATAACATGTGTCAAACAATATAGAGAACGTGGAGATCCAGTGTGGGTAGTATTCTTGCAATAAGCCGTCGTGGTTCGTGTCTGAACTACCTGAAGAACATATCTCAAACGTGGTGGTCCAGTGTAGGTAGTATTCTACAATAAGCCGTCGTGGTTTGTGTCTGAACTACCTGAAAAAGAGATCTCAAACGTGGTGGTCCAGTGTAGGTAGTATTCTACAATAAGCCGCCGTGGTTTGTGTCTGAACTACCTGAAAAAGATATCTCAAACGTGGTGGTCCAGTGTAGGTAGTATTCTACAATAAGCCGTCGTGGTTTGTGTCTGAACTACCTGAAAAAGATATCTCAAACGTGGTGGTCCAGTGTAGATAGCATTCTACAATAAGCTGTCGTGGTTTGTGTCTGAACTACCTAAAAGGCTGAAAAAGATATCTCAAACAAGGTGATCTAGTGTAGGTAGTATTCTACAATAAGCTGTCATAGTTTCTGTCTGAATTACCTGAAAAAGATATCTCAGACGTGGTGGTCTAGTGTAGATAGCATTCTACAATACGCTGTCGTGGTTTGGGTCTGAACTATACATACTGAAAAACGACATATACGCTACACAATAATCACTCAATATTTTTTATTGCATATAAATACAGGTTTTATAATAAAAAAATACATAACTTAATGTGAATTATATACAAAATGCTAATCACAATTTTTTATGTCGACTACGACTAAACACAATCAAAGGTTTTTATATTAAAATATGAACAAGGATGTGCAATTGAAATCTTCTACAAGACTTAAGAGTTTATATAATACCCATGCTTTTTAACACGCCAGGGCATGAGTTTAGCTTAGCGAAAGGCATGAACGAAAAATACGTGGTGGATTTGAATTGACTTTTAAAGATCCATCTCCACGATTCTGAGAACCACGCTGTTTTAAAAGTCAATTGAAATCGATCAAGGGCTACTTGATGTGGAAATGTACAGACTTAGTTGTCTACCGTCGTAGCCGTGTTTGATTCAACAGGGTTTGTGGGGAATTCGTCTGCGAGCTGTTTCTTTTGTGCATCAGCCAGAAGTCGTTCCATGAGGAAACGCTTATCACGTCCTTCCTATAATGAATACAGTAGAGAAGGTTTAGAGCAGTACTTCTTCCAAAAGCGGATGGGTTGTACTAAACAGTTCTTCCCATAGAGGTCCAGTTAGAGCCATTCTCTTTTTGGTTCAGGGTTACCGCTGGAGGAAACCTAAACTAAACTTTATTTATACTGGACATCTCAATCAGTTCTTAACTGCATGTTCTACCTAGCCAGTTCAAGCAATTCAATGTAAATACTTCGAAACCGTTCTCCCTATAGTGGCCCACATGCATGCAAGTGTCATCTCGTATTGATCCAGTGTTACTACAGGAGGAAACCTAAACTAAACTAACTTTATTTATACTGGATAACTCTGTCAGTTCTAAACTGTTTTTCCTACAGATCCAATAAGAGCCATCTCTTATTAATCAAGTACATGTTACCAAAATCCATAGGCTCTTGAGCACCCTCGAATATTCCAAAATCCAGCATCCTCATGAGAATGCTCATGAGCATGCCAAAATCAGATATGCTCATAAGCACGCTCAAATATGTAGGAAAATCCAGCACGCTTATAAGCATACCGAATTCTTCTATACGAGAATGCTCATGCACAAGGAAGCCTTAACAAGAATTTACTATATTTATACTGGATAGTTCTGTCAATTCTAAACTGTTCTCCCTAGAGGTCCAGTAAGGATAATCTCTTATTGATCCAGTGTTACTACAGGAGGAAACCTATAGAAGAGTATCATACTTACCAGTATCAGTTGATCTTTTAACATATCTATCATGTGTTGATGAGCTTTGTTCATGGAACGGAAGTAGTAAAGCAGTAAACTAGAACAGAACATGGAAGTAAAGATAAATGATTCAATTACAATTTATATTACTTAATGCATGGTTATAAGGTCCTGGTCAAATTTCCAGTTACTGTAACTTACCATAGAATGACAGCAAATGGAAATATGAATGACACAGTTCCAACAAAACGTATAATATCCTGGAGGACCTGTGGCCAAGTATTAATCTCGTTAGGCACGACGTTGTACATACGCATTGAATCCTCACAGTCCGTGTTGCTTCAAGAAAGAGAACATTTTATCAACTACCTGTCTGCCAAGCATTATAACTCTAGTTGCGCGTATCATGACCGGATTTTGAGAGAAGTGGGGGGGGGGGGGTGCGCACCTCCCCTGAGATCGTTTTGCACCTCCCTTGAGAATTTTACCACCTCCCTTGAAAAGTCATGCACCTCCCCTTGAAAAAGTTTCAAGTTGATGGTTGCTTAGGGTCTACACTTCGTAAGGAAGTTTTTCTGTAAAATTGAAACAGTGACAGCCATTCATCTCTGTGTTTTGAAAGAAACTTTGTAGTAATTGTAATGAAGGACAAAATTTGATAAGTTGTACAGTCAAAATTCATTAATACACTGATACATATGTACACTATACATGCATACGTCACATCGTTGACTTTGGCTCGTTCTACGTAAGAACTAACTTTCCATGGGGGTCGTGAGCTAGACAGCTGCACCTCACCTAAATTGTTTTCCACACCCCCCATTATTTCCACCAAAATCTGACCTTGCTGCATATAATGGTAAATTTACAGTAACAAGGTTCTCACATTGTTTGAATTGTGTAGATTCTCTGACAATGGAAGACAGTATACCAAAAATAGAAGACAGTATCCCAATACCCAATATATGACGAAATTGCCTCGCGTGAGAAATGCTAATTATAAAACATATTTGTTCATTTGAATACATATTTGTATACTCTCTCTGTGATAACTGCTGGTTAAACATAGCTATTAACTATGGGCAAACTTAATTTCAGTATACGTGACCTTACTGATTTATCATAAGAAATGAATGCATTCCTTACCTAAATGGTCCACAGCAAGACGTCTTTATTCTAGTAAACAATCAAGAAAAATTTGTTATACTAGTAAAAGAATCAATAAACTTTATACAACTGGATAAATATGTGTACATTTCATGTGCAAAACTGTCGCTATAATCTATTGCTAATTAATACAAGACATTAATATTAATAAGCGTCGGTTAGTACAGCCCTGGTCAAAAGAAAATCAAAAATTAAAAAATAAATCAGAAATGCCGTACGAGGTCGTACGCTCTGTACTATTTGTATACTAGTTTTCGTATAAAATTCCCGTATAAAAATGCGTTTGAAATGCTGGATTTAAACGACGTAACAAAGATGGCGGTTTGGGTTTCGAGCAGTGAACTCTCGATGTTTCTAGATCAATGTTTCATGTTTGATTGTTATAAATTTATGGATATTTCAGAATCAGGCGAATATTTGGTCATTGGTTGAGGGATTTTAAGGCAAACAGGGGTAACGATTCAGCTCTGCTGTAGAAAGTGTACGTGATCGTATACGTGTCTGAAATTCGTGGCGCACGCCAATCTAATTTCAGCGAACAAGTTTTTAAGCCCAGAAGAGTTGCATGCGAGTTGCATGAGAGTTGACAAGATGTTAACGCGCGCTCAGCGAAAACTCTCATCAATTCTCTTCAACATTTCAAAATTTGAACCATCTCGAAGTTGATGAGAGTTGGCGATCACTCATCCTGGTTTCACCGCCGGGGGCTTAAGTTCACTGAAGTAAATTTGATCAGTTTATCTACCGAGTACTTTACCTTGTTATGGAGTAACCAATAGCAACCAGACAGATCAAATATGACAGCAGAAGTAACATGGTAAAAAGATAGTTTGCACGAGAACTGTTGTACGGCTTTGATGAGGGTTTACAATTGTACATCAAGCCTATCTAAAGAAGAGAGGGTAAACCTGTTTAAGCGCAGCAAAAAAGGAAAGAGGTTTAATGACTTTAATCAGAGTTCAATACAACGCTCGGTCATCGGCCATTTTCCGCGCAAAACGCCAACATGGCCATCTACTGACTGCTTTGCACAGACATTATGGCCAATCATTTTACCACATTAATTTGAAAAATTTCTCCATCATTCTTGCAAAGCCAAAACACAATTTCTTACTAATCTACCACACAAGATTTGTCAATTGAAATTCCTATTGATTTCGTAATATTGGTCAGGTACAGTATATTGATCAAATGAATTGCTATATTATATTGAATTTATATATGAAGGAGAAATAATTGTAATGCTGCAATGTACTATATAACTTTTCTCTTTTGAGTTCTATCAACGATCAGTGTCCAATCATGTTCGATCGAAGTGTGGGAATTGGTTCGACTTGTCAGAGCAATAACCCTGGAAGATTTTGTCCAAAAGCCACCCGTTGCATAATTGTAACCACTTAATCGCAATCGTGTTTGAAAATTATACCTTTTTAGCATAGAACATGATGAATAATTTGGCCACACCCATAGCTGCCATGAGAGGAGAAAAGTAGCAGCCAATCCTAATTAAAGAACAAATATAAACAATTGACCACTTGCGTAATAGACTAAATTTTGATCTCAACAAGTCAAGACAAAAATTTCATCACAGCTTGAAAGAGCATCACAAAATTAGTGAATATTCCAAAGTTTCGTTGCGAAATGTTGTAAAACGCGGAAAATATATCCTTGCGAAGTTTGCCGTTTTTCAGTCATTTTCTATTACAAGAATGTCATTGGTCTGTCAATTTCTCCCGCGTAATGCAAAATGACTGAAAAACGGCAAACTTCGCAAGGCTATATTATCCGCATTTTACAACATTTCGCAACGAAACTGTGGAATATTACTAATTTTGTGATGCTCTTTCAAGCTGTGATGAATTTTTTTTCTTGACTTGTTGAGATCAAAATTACGCAAGTGGTCAATTAATTTACAAGTTACAACAACTATGTAAACGAATTTCACGTCTATACTAGATAGCTCTAACAGTCCTACACTGCTCTCTTTGTAAAGGGCACTCTGTATGTCCCCAGTGTTCCAAAGGAGGAAACCAGCTTAACCAGAGAAAATTCAATAGTCATCGAGAGAGAGACGGGATGTAACGAAATACGTACCAAATCAGGGACTGCCCATAGACCAACTCGAGTACGTTTCTTGGAATATCAAATTCAGGAGCTGGAGCAAATTTTCTCATTACTCTTGTGTGATCAAATAAGAGTCTAGGAGGAAGTGACAAATATTATTTTTGAATCATGATATGTATTTAATAATGGTTAAGGGATGGTATATATGTACTTCTTTGTGTCAACATTCTCTGCGTGTGGAACTCGTAAGTTCAGATGTGAGATCTTTGGGTGTTTTGACAACTGCGCGACAGTGAACTGTTCTCCCTAGAGGCGCAGTAAGAGTTATTTCTTACCTGTATACTAAGTCGACGATTAATGTGGTGAAAAGTACAATGATGAAATCAAGCCAGACTAACATGTACATCTGTGCAGCAATCTGGTTCTCCCAACACTAAAATATGTAATACAATTCAGTTACAGTAAGACATCAAGGTTTCTCTGACAGTTGCTGTTGGAGAGGAGCCGGAGCAGGCTTTTAACCAGAAGGGCGCCCCTAGAACGAAAAATGGACGCCTTTGGACGCCCATTAATATATCCAAAACGAAATAGCGTCAATTCTCATTGTTATTATACATTTGACATTTTGATCAATTTGATGGTGTACCTGGCTGAATGAAAATGTCGTAGTTAAGTAAAGAAGCATAGCGGCACAAAATCACAAAGCCAAGTGTGTTTGAAAAATTTCGAACGAGCTTGGAACAGATGCTGACATGAAGTAACGTAAACTTCAAAGGTTTTCCAGAGGAACGTTTTCTCGAACACCCCCCCCCCCCTTTACTATAAATATTTCGTTATACCAAAATTGGACGCCCTTTTTTAGGACCCTGGCTAAAAGCCTGGGCCGGGCGGGGGGTGTTGATGTGGTTATTTCTCTGTATAACAGGAGCCAAACGTAGTGTATAACTTACTCTGTCACAGTCCTCTCTTTTAGAGGCTTCGATGAACAACGTGATAACCAAGGAAGCAACTGAAGCCAATTTCAATAATACAGTTCTACAACAATCAAAAATAGCGGGAACTGGTTAAACTTACGAGACTATAGTTTGAAGGTGAAATGGCGACTACTCTGTACTCCGATTTGCAGACAAAATGGTTGGTCTGTCCACTGATCTAGTCTGTCTGGATGAACTTGGGAAAAGTTTGTCTATTTTATTTATTTATTTATACGAGCTTTGTCATAAATGACTGGTGGTCCCTACAGGGCTTATTGCCCCAATTTCAGGGTCCCATAAAATACACATTTACACCAATTACAACACATTATATTTACAAGGCTGAAGGCTCTATATAGCATAAATCGGGCCAATGTATATAGCAATAGCACAGTGTTTCAATATCTCGTACTCCGTAAAATTACAAGGCTCTATAGCATAATCGGGCCAATGTATATAGCAATAGCACAGTGTTTCCATATCTTGTACTCGTAAAATTACAAGGCTCTATGGCATAATCGGGTCAATGTATATAGCAATAGCACAGTGTTTCAATATCTCGTACTCGTAAAATTACAAGGCTCTATAGCATAATCGGGTCAATGTATATAGCAATAGCACAGTGTTTCTATATCTCGTACTCGTAAAATTACAAGACTCTATAGCATAATCGGGTCAATGTATATAGCAATAGCACAGTGTTTCTATATCTCGTACTCGTAAAATTACAAGACTCTATAACATAATCGGGTCAATGTATATAGCAATAGCACACTGTTTCTATATCTCGTACTCGTAAAATTACAAGACTCTATAGCATAATCGGGTCAATGTATATAGCAATAGCACACTGTTTCTATATCTCGTACTCGTAAAAGTGAATGCTCTCCGCAATTGACTGAGTTGAATTATCAGTCGAATTACTGGGTGATCCGTCTCTAGCATAAATCGGGTCAATGTCTCTACCCTTCCTCGGGAAGCCAATTTGGAGACAGGTTTTATACTTCGTTACAAAGAGTAAACAGTTTTTTTATTTCATTGTAATAAACCCCCGCCGTAAAGCAGGGTGACAAAAAATTAGTCTATAGACTCATTCTGTTGTTCTCCTCCACGGAAATCTTTAGTAAAAGGCGAAAGATTTATTCGTGGTTTGAAGGAAAACCAGAGTTAGTTACTGATTTGAGATTTAGTTTCAGTATTTAAATGACAAAGTATCTCTTCCGGCTTGTGGGACGTACTGCTGAGCGCCATCGTCGCTTCGTGTTAGTACACACGCATGCGTAAAAGAACGAAACAAGTGGATTGTAAAATTTATTCAGGCTTCCCATAGTTAAGATACTAATTAAGAGACATTGCATATCTATGAATAGTTTAGGATACTGATTACCGAAATTAGACGAACAACACAACTCAATATAAACATGTTCTCTACGTTTCATACAAATGCTGAGCGATGACCCTTGTGACCTTTTATCACAAGATTGGTAGCCATTGCTATAAAACACCTGACGATCTTTTTCAGGTAGTTCAGATAAAAACCATGGTAGCTTACTATAGAATACTACCTACACTGAACCGCCACGTTTGAGATATCTTTTTCAGGTAGTTCATACACAAACCACGGCAGCTTACTATAGAATACTACCTACACTGGATCGCCACGTTTGAGATATCTTTTTCAGGTAGTTCAGACACAAACCACGGCAGCTTACTATAGAATACTACCTACACTGGATCGCCACGTTTGAGATATCTTTTTCAGGTAGTTCAGACACAAACCACGGCAGCTTATTGTAGAATACTACCTACACTGGACCACCATGTTTGAAATATCTTTTTCAGGTAGTTCAGACACAAACCACGGCAGCTTATTGTAGAATACTACCTACACTGGACCGCCACGTTTGAGATATCTTTTTCAGGTAGTTCAGACACAAACCACGGCAGCTTATTGTAGAATACTACCTACACTGGACCACCACGTTTGAGATATCTTTTTCAGGTAGTTCAGACACAAACCACGACAGCTTATTGTAGAATACTACCTACACTGGACCACCACTTTTGAGATATCTTTTTCAGGTAGTTCAGACACAAACCACGGCAGCTTATTGTGGAATACTACCTACACTGGACCATCACTTTTGAGGTATCTTTTTCAGGTTGTTCAGACACAAAACACGGCAGCTTATTCTAGAATACTACCAACACTGGACCACCACGTTTGAGATATCTTTTCCAGGCAGTTCAGACACAAACCACGGCAGCTTATTGTAGAATACTACCTACACTGGACCACCACGTTTGAGATATCTTTTTCAGGTAGTTCAGACACAAACCACGGCAGTTTATTGTAGAATACTACCTACACTGAACCACCACGTTTGAGATATCTTTTTCAGGTAGTTCAGACACAAACCACGACAGCTTATTGTAGAATACTACCTACACTGGACCACCACGTTTGAGATATCTTTTTCAGGTAGTTCAGACACAAACCACGGCAGCTTATTGTAGAATACTACGTACCTACACTGGACCGTCACGTTTGAGATATCTTTTTCAGGTAGTTCAGACACAAACCACGACAGCTTAATGTAGAATACTACCTACACTGGACCACTACATTTGAGATATCTTTTTCAGGTAGTTCAGACACAAACCACGGCAGCTTATTGTAGAATACTATATACCCATGCACACTGGACCACCACATTTAAGATATCTTTTTCAGGTAGTTCAGACACAAACCACGGCAGCTTATTGTAGAATACTACCTACACTGGACCACCACGTTTAAGATATCTTTTTCAGGTAGTTCAGACACAAACCACGGCAGCTTATTGTACAATTCCAGGCTCCCGACCGCTGGGTAGAACATACCTTAAAAGGTTCATGGCCAACTCGAAACTTGGACTATACTCTTCAAACGTACACAGTACAGCAAATACGGGCGGAATAAATAGATTCAAAGCTGAGATAGTGAGTGATGAGGCATAACGCTTTACAGTATCAAGAAAATTCCCGTCGGTGCTTTCCTGTCAGGGAAAAAAAAAATATTATTATACTCCTGTTAGATAGCTCTCTCAGTTCTAAACTGTTCTTCCTGGAGGTCCAGCATCTACTTACCCCAGCAGCCTCAAGGGCGATTTCTGTGGTGATAAATATACCATATATAGACGAGGCCAGAATACCCATAACGACCATAATAATCAGAAACCTGACAGTGTATAGTTTAAATTTCTTTTTGCTCGAACGGTTCTTGATTTCTTCCAGACGTTTTAGTTCCGACAGAGTTCCCTATATTAAACAACAGCTTCAGAGTTTAGTTTCGTGTAGGTTGATATGGCTTGATTTGTACAAGATATATGGACCATCCACTTCACCAGAAGACTGCAGATTGTTAGGGATTCAAGTAAAACGTCTACGTTTCGAGCGAATGCCCTTCGTCCAGACAACTATACTAGCTAGAATAGGCTACAGCGCGATCCTTGTTGGCAATGTAAGTGGGGGCATACTAATCATCTTTACTTGCAGAGCTGAGAGCTAAGCTGAATTACGAAGGACACAGCTCAACCTGATCGAGTCGAAGGCTTTCTAATGGCGCATCTGACAGCCACCTTATTACACATGTCTCATCACGGAGCCCAACTACAACGGTGGAAGGGTCACTTTTGGGGCTAATACCAACCCTCCCTGTCCACATTCCCTGTGGGAACAAATCGGAGAACCCAGAAAAAAGCTTTTTTTTTAGAACGTGGAAGACTCTTTTTCACATATAAATGCTTGCTCCAATAATATTGAAAACAAATCGTGCCTGCTGTACATGCAGTATATTCTTGGTAGTTCATCTAAATTGGCCTGTGTCAAGCTCTAGCTATTTATACAAATCAGGCCTCGAATTTCCCTGAAATCAATCGAAGGCAATGGCCATGGCATTTTTTCAAATTACTGTAATAAAAATTTAATTTTATTGTTACTTTGGATTGTTGACAAGCTATAGAAACATGTTTACGTATTTCTTTAGTGTTTTTTCTCGAAGAAAACTGAGACTAAAATAGTAATTTGATCAACATCTCAATTCAAGTATCAAAATTAAAATAGTAATGCACAGTGAATAGTACAAAAATTATATTATACGGCAAAAAATTGCCGTCGTTGCCGCAATCATCCACGGCATTTTGTTCTCCCTCTACGGCAATTGCTGCGATAAAATTCAAGCCCTGATACAAATTGACAGTGATCATCTGTCAACTGGACACAAGCTAGTTCGTGTAGAACTAACTAGGCAGATAGTGATCCATCTGTTTGCAGCGTTTATGCTGTAAACTATCTTTTCTTTGCCCAAATTCATCAAAATGGGCCATACGTCTCTGGGAGAAACAAGTCTTCAAAACATTGCAATAGGTTTGTTGACAAAAGGCAGGCTGCTATGGAAACCCAATGACCAGAGTAACTTTTATATGGTTTATATATACCTCGATATCATTGATAAAATTCTGACTTCTTATTTTTGCGGTCTTTTCGTCAGTGATACAAAAATCCCAAGAGGCAAACGCTTTGTTACAGAACGAATAGAACTGACCACCACCTTCAATGTAGCTCTGCTGAAAGTTCTTGGCAAGGCTAAAGAATAAGCAGAACAGAAACTCAAAAGCGAGGCCACAGTATAAAGAAGCTAAAGAACAATGTACTATACATACCTGCTGACCATAAGCAGCAAGCTAAGTAGTAGGTATGCCGCACCAACCAAAAGATAGGCCAATGGTAGTTTATATGTCGTGTCACCATCGTCGCTAACTAGAGTCGTTGCAGGGTAGCTACTGTAGAACATTATGGTCGTATTGATCCAACCCTTAGAATTGAAGGAAAATGCAGTATAAACTTCAATATTTCTTACAGTAAATTGAAAGTACTTTATTCTGCCAGATGCTATTAGCAATACCGGACTGTTCTATACTTGTATAAGGAAATGACTAAACCAAACTAACTTTATTTATATTGGATAGTGCTTTATCAATTATGAACTCTTCTCCAAAAAGGTCAAGAAAGACCATCCTTTACTGGTCCAGTGTTACTACAGGACGAAACCTAAACTAACCTTACTTTAATTATTCTGGATTACTATACATCAATTCAAATCAATTCTGAACTGTTCTCCCTAGAGGTGCAGTAAAGATGATCTCTTATTGATCCAGTGAAGCTACAGGAAGACACCGAAACTAAACTAACTTTATTTATTCTGGATTACTACATCAATTCAAATTCAATTCAATTCTGAACTGTTCTTCTTAGAGGTCCAGTAAGGATAATCTTTTATTTGTCTAGTGTTACTACAGGAGGAACCTGTGTACCAGAAAACCTTTGGTAGAGACTCATAGAGAAAGGAAACACTTCCTATAGGAAATCCTATAGGAATTTTGGACCATTCCTATATACAATTCTTTTGGGAAATTCTATTCCCATACAAATTCATTTCTATAGGAAATATGGATTCCAATAGGAATTTTTTGATAAGAAATTTTTATTATACAACTGGTAAAATCATAATCAGACAACTTTATATTCCAGGGGCCACTTGTTCAAAGCTGGATTAGCGCGCTAACCCTTGGTTAAAATTTAACCTGCTGTTTTAGTTTATGTATTTCTGCATGCACGTCTGCATATACATATTTCAAAACTTCAGACAAAACTCCTGCTGATCCAGGCCAGATCTCTAAAGAAATATTTTCAAATTTATCAACAAGCTGTTGGAAATTAAGTTTGCTTTAAATTTTAGGTTAACCTAGGGTTAAGCAAACCGCAGCTTTCAAACAACTGGTCCCAGGAAATTCTTCTTGCACAGGTAAACCAACCAATGCGCCATCGACACCCCATGATCAGTGTGAAACTTACCTGACCAGTCATAAAATCTACGACCAAATTCCCGGCACCTTTTCCTGAAGTATAGTCCAGGTTCTGTGTGGCAGGACACGAACTATTTGCATGAATAGCAGGCTCAGGAAGAACAAGCTTTGGCACAGAAATAAAACAGAACTGGATGATGAAAATTAGGAGATCCAAGAACAGTAACCATTTAAGGAACAGAAAGAATGACAGCACACCATTTCCAAATTGACCTAAAAACAAATATTGTACTTTACTCCATTAAAGCAGTCAAATACACCCTTCCTATCAATGGGTGATTCCAGCTATGGACGAAAGAACGAAATCCAACACCACACCTAGAAAGAGCATCTTAAAATGAGTAAATTTGCAAAGTTTGGTTACAAATATGTTATAAAATGAGGAAAATATAGTGTGAAGTTTGCAAATTTTGTATATATTTGTATTATGCATGGTAAAAATAACCACTTTCTGCTCAAAAATGGTTATTTTTTCTGTGCATAATGCAAATATACAAAACTTGTGAACTTCACAGAGCTATATTTTCCTTATTGCACAACATTTTGCAACCAAACTTTGCAATTTTATTCATTTTAAGATGCTCTTTCTAGGTGTGGTGTTGGATTCCCTTTTTCTTGTCTAGATCAAAATTTTGTCCATAGCTGGAATCACTCATTTGATTCTCTATAATGCTGGATAATTTTACCAATCAAGCATTATGTTCTTCTTTCAATACCTTCCACTTCTTTCAGATGACCTTTCCATAATTCCATGGCATGAATTCCTTCTTCGATCGACTGCTTGGTAAGATGCCACCACTAATATATAAATATATTATGGCAAATATAAGTTTAACCCTTTAAGTGGCAATGCGCCCAGATGCGCCCTAACGCCAGACGAGTGTACTAATTGTAAGGGGGAGAGTGCTGCCACTCAATGGGTTAATTAAAGTAAAATTAAAGTAAATTTATTGCTGGTCCAACTATATCTTTTCTATCCCACAACCTCAACCCTCGAAATTCGCCTTGGCACTCGGCAATTGCCGACGCAAATGCCGAGGCAAGTTACGATTTTTCATAGTTTGCCTCGGCAAAAAAATGCCGAGGCAATTCCAACCGTTGTACCTTAAATTATTTAATATACAAACTACAGCGTCTGTTCATTTTTTTACTTAAATTTACAAACTACAGTGTTCGTTTTTTGTATCACTTCTTTGTTCGAATTGTTGTCATCGACGTCGGCTGAACAACAGAAGATTTCATTCATAAAAAAACTACTTTACAAAATATTCAAAATTTGAGCTTTTCAGCGTCTGCTTCGGCTGAAATAAAGAATTTTATCTTTTGGATTGTCGCGTGATTACCGTCAAGTTTATTCTTTCATAAAAACATTTTGAATCAGGAATTTGTAAAATAACAACAAATTGTAAAACGTCAGAATCTATGCTCGTTATAATATTTGTTCACAATAATTTCCATATGTACTTTACTTTAATTACAACTGCCGACGTGAATGCCGAAGGGTGCCGAAGTAATTGCCGAAGGAATTTAAGGTGATTTCATTGCGTGCCTCGGCAAAAAAAATGCCGAGGCAAACTCGAAAATTATCGAAAGACCTCGGCAATTATTTGCAGAGGCAGAAATAGTTGAATTTCGAGGGTTGCAACCTACCATTGCTGTACGCAGTTTAAACGCTTTCCAGAATGACAAGCTCTTGGTATATGATTGGTTTGACATCCTAGCTTTCCTGTCAAAAAAAAATTGATGATGATGATTTTCATGTGAATTTGATATGAGAATTTTTATTAAGAATATAATGTAGCAATTGAATTGAATTTTAAGTAAATAAAAACTCCTTTTTAAGACACAAACTTACACATGTATTGATAATTATATATATTTTCGACTTTTGAAAGAACATCTTATTACTGTTGTAATTTTATTTAAAATTTATCGTTATTTGTGCCTTTTGCCTGCCTTAACAAGTCCGGAATCAAATTTGGACAAAAGCAGCTAAAGATAGTTGCTGAGATCAGTAATTAAAAGTTTTAAAACACGCCAAGAATGCCATTCACCGATTTACGCCAGTAAGCCATATAGGCATATGCCAAACACTATTCGCAGTACACCGAAAAGACTACAAGCATACGTACGCCAGTACGCCGATAACTTTTGAAGTCCACGCCGAAGTCTGATCTTCGGCGTATAATGCTATAATTTATGGTAACCAGAAGTAGGACACCAGATTCTCAGAGGGGGGGGGGGTCCAAATTTGGGATCCTGGCATCCCAGACAAATACTGAAAAAAAATGTAAATTTCAGACTCTGTTAAGGTGTTATGTAACACACACTCAAAACTAATGAATATATTTTTCCACACCACCTGGTTATGATATGACTAAATATGTTATTGCTATGCTTGGAATCAGGTTTCAAATACTAAGAGATTATACTCAGATTGATAGATCTGCATTATGTCTCATCATAGTGGGGTTTGAATAAGGTGCAAATTCCAAGAATATCTTAGCAAGGTGAGATGTATGTAGAGAGGTCAGGGATACGAGATTGTTGTTTTGGTGTTTTGCCAATACTGCATGGCAGAGTTGTTTGTGTGCCTTATATCTGAATTTGACTGACACAATATGTAGTTGTCTGATAAATTTCACCTCAATGTAATGTGAGAGTGCTTCCAGTTTGGTTTTACAAAACACTGCAGCATTTTCTCAGAGCGCTACTGTTTTATACTGTAGTAACACTCAGTCTGCCAATCAGCCTTACATGCTAAAATCACCTGGCTGCTTTCCAGGTATGCCTTTTTTCATATGTGCATACATATGCATGGAAAGTTTAAATCCATTTAAAAATTACTGATGAAATAACTAAATGAATAAAAGAGGAGCACATATGGTTTAATGTGTATTTCTTAATAAATTAAGGTAGTAATGCTTATATCAATTAAATTTAAAAAGATTTAAACTTTTCTGTACATGTTTACATGTGAAAAACACTTAACAGGAAAGCAGCCTATATTCAACATATTTTAATTCTGTATAGTCAGAAGATTATGTGGATATCTTCTCTTTTCAATGAATATGAATTGGAAATGTTCGAAATTCTGTCCGAGACTTTTGGGGCAGCGTTGGTAAAATCTGAGGAGTTGTTAATTAGCAATGCTGTTAGAGAAGCATGTTTTGCAATCAAATATGGCAGTAATGCCCCGAGGTGTCACACATTCCTAACTGCCCAACTTGGCTAATCTGCTCACTGGACCTTTACACAGAGCATTTATAAACTGATAGAGCTACATATTCAGGGCAATACATCCCCCTCTATGATCGTGCATGTACAAATTTAGTATTAACCAGTTGAGTCCTATTGTGATCCCAATGTGCCTGACTTTCTTATTTTAATCTAATGCCAGACAATTTTACTTGTCAAGAGAAGAGCACTGCTAATGGGCTAACGGTTTAACCCATTGAGCTGCAATGCATCCTACTTATTCTTTTTACTTGTGTAACGCCAGATGATTTTACTCATCAATGGGGAAGCTCTGTAGCTTAATGGGTTAACCAAAAAATCTGACAATGTCTCTAGTTAACCCATTGAGCTGGAATGCATCCCAGTGTGGCCTATTTATTTTTTTACTTCTCTAATGCTAGACGATTTTACGCGTCAATGGGGAAGCTCTGCAGCTGAATGGGTTAAATAACCAAAAAATCTGGCAATGTATCTAGTTAACCCATTGAGCTGCAATGTGCCCCAGTGTAGCCTACTTATTTTTTTAACTTCTCTAACGCTAGACGATTTTACTTGTCAATGGGGAAGCTCTGCAGCTTAATGGGTTAACACATATTTTTTTAAAGCTACAATGGCCACAACTCTGTCTAATGCCAGGTGATTTTACTTGTTAAAGGGAGAGTTTTGTGCACAAACATATTTGAGTGTGCGTGGGTGCATGCCAGTTTCCAAGGATGTTGATTTTTGTGTTTTATTATACAATGTTTTTTCACTGTTGGGTTGTCATGCATTTGGCCATAATCTATAAAGGAGTTCCTTCAATTGTCTACGACCCGACTCTGAGTGGGTGGGATATTTGTCTATTCATCAAGCCATATAATTTCAGCCTTTTAATTGCATTCTTTCAATTTATAATTCCTATATTCCTCTTTTATTCAATGTTTTTTCCTCAGGTTCGACCTTATATAATTCTGTAGCCAAATGCATATTTATGGCGAAAAAAAATTTCAAATAGTACGTGCTCTATATTAGCCACTGTCAAAGTGCTGAAAAAAGTTGAAAAACAAACAACCTATTAAAATCGAATTTGATATATTGGCACATCTGAGAATTTGAAGCCAGACAGGTGCAAAGAAAATGTTTGCACAATTATGTATTAAAGTTTGTTATGAAAAATAGCGGCGCCTTACCTAACACTACGTTTCGTTGCCATGGGGGCGGCCATGGCCTTGTAGGATTCGCCTCTGTCGACCGAATGGTTTTCATCTTCGATATCTATAACTTGTCCGTCTGCCTGGTCCGTTGCCGACTCTTGGGAACGTCTTCCCGAACTAGTGCGCCGATGCAACGATACACCCCTTCTGTTTCCCGCACTTTGCGATGGGCCCCCAGCGACATTTCGATTATTGATATGACTCGGTAATCCTTCAAATAATTTATTGCTTCGGCTGTTGCCAAGACCTTTTGCAAACAAAAACGAAATACGTCGCTTTAGAATAGGAAACTACAAGAATACACAGTACTGTTGTACTTGTCAGAAAAACAATAACCTGACAAATAGCAGTTTAAAAACGTAAACACAACCGCTGTGAAATTTGGTCGGATTTTAAACAGACGGCTACAAACTTGAAATGGCTATAAATTAATTATCATTCCCAGGTAGTTAGGAAACCAGAGCTTTAGTTTAAAGTTATACATTCATACCTTCTTCGTCGTCGTTGCTGTCCTCATCTTCAAAAGAATTTAACGCGATATCTCCACGTCCTTCTTCAACATCAGACGCCATATTCGTTTCGCCGTCAGGTTTTGTTTGAACTGCCAATGGTCCGACGCGCCTATTGTGCATTCTCGCGATACCGAAAATAACACTCTGGCACCATTATTTTCGGCCTGACAGCATTGGATTTTTATGTAAAGTACCAAAACTCTTTGTCTAAATTCAAAAGCACTGTCGGCAAGCTCAGGCACTTTATTTACACCTCTCAGTCACCTGAGGACTAGATCAAAATACTGCGATCTGATTGGCTGGTTCACCGGTTGCAAATAAAATCAAACCCCTATTTCAATAAAAATGTCTTTTTATATTCGTCTGAAATAAAGTTTAGAAAAATTGAATTTTAAGCTTTGAAATCTTACAGTGCTGTTACCGAAGTGCGTTTAGGACTTTGGTTTAAAGTGAACTGAAAGGAAAGAGCCCTCAGAATAGAGAATATCGTGGTAGTACGTGCCGAAAACTGACGTCATTTATATTAAAAAAAAGGTCAATAAGGAAATACTATGGGAAGTCCAATATGAGACAGGTTAAATACTGTACCCACCCCCAGCGATTAAAACCAGTCTTTCTTATTTCACGATCATTTTTTGACCATAACTACCGTTCCAAGTTCCAAAAGAATAACAGGAACAAAAAGGTCAAATTCTTTTCTAAAATTAACAAAAATGGCTTCATAATCGCTTCCGTTACGTTTTAAAAGTTCTTTATTTTCGTTAATTTCCGAAAAAAAATTAAATTGGATTATGTCATATCTGAATGAATGCTATTTGGAAAAAGAGGGACAGGGGGG